TCCAAAGGGTATGGATCTGAGATGTTTTTAACTAGCAGGTGTATTTATTGCCAGCTCTGCGCAACTGAGCCTTATACGAGGCGTTGGGATTGCCACTGGAGAGTCTGCTGTAGCCAAGGGTACACTGGAAGTTTCTTAGCTCTGCCCTTTTACATACAGATAAGATAGAGCTGCAGAAAAAGATTCATATGGACTATTCATATGGACTATTTCCAGCAACTTTCTGAAAGACTCCCCTACCAACCTGTAACTCTGAACTAAAACCTGAGTCTCCAAGATACAGCAAGCCTTGTCTCTGTCTACAGGGGTCTAGAGAAACCTAGCTGCAAATGTGTCTGAACTAGGTGTCTCACAGCTTTCCCACAGCAGTAGTTTAGGGCTCTCAACAGAATCCTTACAGGATTGAAAGCAGGTTCTAAATATTCTGCTTCCTCCACACAAATAAGCCCTACTTACCTTCCAATCTCTGCTAGAACAAAAGTCAAACTTTAGTTCACTACAAGACTAGGGAGATAAAGGGTGCATTACTTTTTTCAGGACAACAGAGTTGAGCTGTCTCAAGCATTTTTTATTTCTCAAACAGCCAGATATCTTATTTATGTGTTCACCCTGGAATGCAACTACACATCTGCACAACTGTTTTCTTTCCAGGTCCAATGGGAATCCACGGCTCACGGGGTCCACCTGGTGCTGTAGGACAACCAGGAGACCAAGGTTTTCAAGGAAAACCTGGTCCTACAGGTCCCACAGGTGCTTACAGTCTTGTTCCTCATTGGCACTCAATTGTAACTGTGATCTTTGTATTCATAAATAAAAAAACCTTACTAATTTTTACTTGTATATAAACAATTTAAACAAACTCAAAAATCTAAATTATTTCTCATTTGAGCTATGTAAAAGACTTCTGTATTTGTCACCTCATATAAATGATGTCAGTTCTCATTCCATTCTTTGCTCTATTTGCATGTTTGAAATTTGATTCCACTTGCACTGCAATGGCTGAAATCTGCATTCCATTTTTCACATCCTTCAGGATTCATAGGTAAGTTGATGACTATTGGTTATTGTTCATAAGGATTTCCTTCTGTATAGGTGTATTATACACTTATAAGTATTTTTTGGCTTGGCTGCTAGGTATAGTAGATAATGCCACAACAACATAGTGCTAATAGATTTTTCACATAAACAGCTCGTGCTTCCCAGTGTATCATAATAATAGTACACTGAGAAAAAGCCTTGTGCCATGATGTCAGTTAGACATGCCAAATACCTTTGCTTCAAATTATTTAGCACTTTTTTAGTTGTACTTTCTTTTTGTTTTGGAGGGGTATGTCACATTAGGTACTTTCTAACCAAAACCTTGAGAACTAGACTGAATTAGTATAGACAGAAACTGAGCTCTTAATCTGTCTAAACCAACACAACTCTGATTTTGTTCCAAAATACCAGGAGCTATAGCCAATAGCTTCTGGTAACTTTCAATACATAAATTTCAATACATAAATGTGTCAATTCTTTATTACTACAATACATGGAGATTGTGGGCTAGAAGAGTTAGCTCTCTTCCTTTTGTCTGCTTGTTGAGGGTTTTACAGTCACAGAATAAGCAAAGTACTGTAAGCGTTTACATGTGCTAAGGTGTTTGAGCTGAAGTAGACTTGATACTTCAACTCAGATCAGTTTGGGCCATATTAAGACAGAAACTGCACACCAAATATCTGAAATGTATCAGCATACACCTGCTAACACATTTGCCATGGTATGCTGTTAAATGCCGTTCTTCAAAGACTAAAATTAAAAGCAGTGAGCATAGCCCAATGTTTTAAAATATTAAAGTATGCACTCGAATACCAAAAACAACTACCAGGTATGTTGATTTTTCACATGGGAGCTATTACTCATTTTTTGTAGTTGTCATTTTAATGTAATTTAATCTACTTTCATATTGCATGCAACAGGTGATCCTGGTGAACCAGGAAAAACAGATGACTCATGTCCTGCAATCCCAGGGCCTCCTGGGGAAGCAGGACATAGAGGAGATGATGGTTCAATAGGATTACCAGGGCCAATAGGTCACCCTGGACCCCAAGGTAAGATTTGTTTTAAAATCTTAGATGTCTATTTTCAGCTATTTAGACAAGGAATTGGAAAGGGTCACTGCACCTCCTCTACTTTTACCCTTAAAACAATGGTCTGCAGCAAAAGTCAGTGTGTTGGTTAATGCTGAGGATGATAGACCAGTACAGCTAAACCAGGCTACTTAAGTCTGCCTACGCTACGTTCCTCTTCTCCTGGGCCACAGAAAGCAAAACATCATGAGCTGCTAAGAAAAATAAATTCTTCAGATGGTTATTTTTCCTTTTACCAACAAATAAAAAGCAGTGCCTAGAACCCCCACTACCGTTTAATATTAACTGGTGGTTTGGCCCAGGCAGTTTATATTCAGATGTAAAACACATCTTTAAATTTTAGAGAAACACAGATTCATCAACCTTGCTATGCTAACCAAAGTCCTAAAAAGATGTACCAATGATTCCAACAGTTACCATCCTCACAGAAAAAACTATAGCAAATCTGTATGGTGTCTTCAGTATAGGTAGCATCTAAATGTAATATCCTCAATTTAGGTAGTAGAAGCCCTCCTACCCTTTGACACATTTTTACTTGGGCAAGTTCGTTGTGGTAACTGCACTGAACATACTATGTCTCCAATAGGGGAAAAAAAATTCTATCATGTGCTCCCAGTAGATTCCCTGCAGGGGTCATTGCTCTCTTGAAAGTGAGCACAAGGCAGTTTTCAGTGAACTATGTCATTTTATACCGCTTAACTGATTTGCCAACCAAGAGGTGTTTCTAAGCTGAATTGCTGTTTTCATTCTATATACCCTTAGAATAGTTTCTGTAAAATCAGACAGTGCAATGATATGTATTTACACTGGTTTGTACAAAAACCACTTAGTAATGCTTTTTCTTTCATTAACACAGCAGAATTCCAAATGTCCCTGCTGAGAAAGCTACATAGTTCAGAAACAGGTTTTACTGGCAGAATCAGGGTATATTACTAAAACTTCTGTGCACTTGAACCTTGGCAAAACAGCCATGCAACAGAAATTGAAAAGCTGTTCAATTGTTTTGAATTTGTGGAATCCCAATGAAAAGATAACATGGGGAATGGTTAAATGCTGTAAAGCAGCTTCAAAAACCAGTTTGCAGGTTAAATGTTATAGTTTGCGAGGAATAAAGCATGCACCGTTAATTATAACCAACACACGTGCTAGAAAACAGTTGTTTTTCACACAAATTGGAGAAGCACTGCCAAGTGCAACAACATCTGACAAGTTCAGATTGCATTTAAAGTAGTCAGAGGAGTATTGTTATCTGTACCCTACATAGGAGATATTTATTACTGTTTGACCATGCTTTATTATCTGCTAATGCGTACAAATGTTTTTGTGTGTGAGAAATATAAAAAAGCCTTTGCTCTTCCCCACTGGAGATAATCCAGTTCAACTGTCTCTCTCTTTTCTATTAACACTTGAATACATGCATTGCTTCACAGGAAGTTCAGCATGTTTAAAGGCTTCGTTGAATCAAGCCCTAAAAAGTGAAGGCCTGCCATAATGAGTTATAACACGTTACATAGTAGAAATACTAATGGCAATTCTGCAAGAGGCTTGTCATAGTAATGTTTGTCACTGGTTTTATTTCAAATCATACAAATTCCATAGAGAGAATATAAAACCTTATCAGCAGTTACCGTTATTAAACTCTCACCTCTGAGCTACCACTGCAGTCACCAGGAGAATAAGTTGTAAAGAGAATTCCCAGCAGAAAGCATTTCTGCACCTCTGTTTCTTAGGTGTTGTTCCTTTGTGGCATCATTTCTGCTGACCTTTTGCATACTGTGTATGTTTGGACACTGTACTAACATTAAAAGGAGTTATATTAAGGGAGAGTACATACTTCACATTTATCTAGGAAGGAAAGGTGAAGAAGGGTCATGTGGCCTGCCAGGTCAAGATGGCTTACCAGGCGCACCTGGACCACCAGGTGACCAAGGGCATGTGGGAGAGCAAGGATACACTGGACCACAAGGTAAAAATGGTTTCTTTTTCTTGTCCATTTACTGCTATGGAATGGGATAAGCAGATACTGCAACTTCATTTTGAAAGCAACTTTGCTGACGTTCTTCGATAGTGGTGGCTCCAATACAAAAAAATGCTAAAGACTTCATAGAAGTTGCAGCTCAAGAAGTGTTGGATTTCCTGTCTGTGCCATTGCTGCAGCTACCCAGTCACATTACTTTTTGGGGGGAGATATGCAGGATGCACAGAGTGGGCTCTCCTTGCACCCCTAGTTCACACATGGACACATCCACCTCCAATCCAACAAACTATGACACTTCTTTCTGCCTCAGTTCAAGCGCTGACAGTGACATTTCTGGTTATCACCATAACACAAGAAATTCTCTTGAAAGAATATTTATCTTGGCAATCAATGATCAATCAGGCAATCAACCACACATACTTAAATGCCATTTATCAATAGCTATGCAACTCTGAGTCAGGGTTACAAGTGCAATTGTCCGAGTAATTGAAATTGTATTTCTGCTGTGACAACCGTTAATAAATTACCAGCTTAACATGTGAGGAAAATGCATAGACTGTTGCTCCAGGGATTTAAATTCAGTCCAGACAAAGTAATCCACAACTAAGTCTGGAAGATCATTGACCACCTCAGATCATTTCTTCCTGGGCAAATATCCACGCAGCACAGGACAGAGACACAGTAGAAAAGCCATCTATGAAACATTCTGTACAATTTAGTTCTTTTCTCTCTGATAACAAAGGTTAACATGAGTCTACTGGTGTCTCTATTGCCCATGACAACCTCTTTAGTTAGTATTAGATTCAGCCAGAAACCCCTTGTTGAACACTAAAATACAGTAAAAGAGAAACATTCCCACTAGCTACATGTTCCTGCAAGCAAATTCACTTTACCTTTTCTTCTATGTACAAAAAGGTCCACCTGGCCAGACTGGTATCCCAGGACCACCAGGGCCCCATATTAGATCTTCAAGTGGATTCTTGCTCGTCCTTCATAGTCAGTCAGACAGAGAACCACTTTGTCCACAGGGGATGCCAAAATTATGGACTGGCTATAGTCTGCTGTACCTGGAAGGACAAGAGAAAGCTCATAATCAAGATCTTGGTATGTATTGTAGTATATGATAATTTCCCTGTGGATAAGGTCTAGGATGGTGTGATCTACACAGTGAAAGACAACTCAAATAGAGCACAGTAAAAAAATTACTTATTTTCTGCAACACAGAACCATTCTAAAATGAGTTGTGGTTTGCTTCCCCCATCCTGGCTAGCCATCTGGGGCTGTCTTTGGGCTCACTGGAGAGATTCTCTTAGATCAGGGGCAGCTTGGGAAAAATAGCTGCTTAGGTTAGATGGTTGCAGTTGGACAGCATAAATAAACTTCAGAAATAAAATTATGCATCATATACAGCAGAATTTTGTGCTCAAGTCTAATTTTTTATCTATTCACTTTCAAAAAAAAACCAAAATGTCTCCCAAGGATAGTTAATCCTGGAATTTTGAGACATTTCTTCTACATAAACAATTTAGACTAGAGTTAAAACGTAAAAAACTGATTGGCTGTAGTTCACGTAGAAGTAATTTTCTAAATTGTTGTAATCTTGTTCTGCAAGAGCCAAAGAACCTACTAGGAGAAAAGATCATCCTTACTGGCTGAACAAAACATATTTAAGAGTTAAAAGAACTTTTTTTTTTTTTTTTTTTTACTACAACAGTGTCACTTTGAAATGTTTTCACTATTAGGTGTTTGGCATTCCCCAGGATAACCACAGTTAGGAACAAAATGTCTTATAAAAACACTGGGAATATCATCCAAATAAAATAAAGTCCTTGTTCCCTGTGACCAGTGGGTTCTTTTCTCAGGCATTTTTCATACTCAGGGTATTCCAGATCACGTATTATTACTAATATGGAATGCTATCAGTGGTAAACAAAATTGGCTTCTCTATAGAAACATCACTTCTGTAAAGAAATAATAAAAAGACACCAGGATTTTTGGGCATGAGAGAAATAACGTCTCATACAAAGATCAGAGCACAAGAGAACTGCAGTGTTAACTACACAGGTCATCACAAAACTATTCTTAACTGAATTCTAGGAGAATTTCACTTTGAGAGTCTGTGAAAATTTTTCGGAATGAAGTTAAACAACTGCTGAGTTTTCAGCTTAATGCACTGGTAGCAAAGGTCTGTCATACATCACAAAAAAATTTCTATTGATCAGAATTGGCTTCTTTTTTCCTACTGCTTCTAATGAGTTCTGATCTCCTCTTAAGCCAGCTGCCTCCTGCCCAATTTATTTTTCAGTGTTGGCACAGCTACAAAATTTGTTATACCTGTTTCCCATGGTAAGAAACTGCTTCACATTTAAATGCTGGACTGCAGCACTATTCAATGGTACTGAAGAAATGAAGGTACGGATTGGTTAAAAATAGTTTCAATATAACAAACTTTTTGTAGGAAGCCCGGGAGGTTTAAAATACTTGAGCGACATAACCTCTGTCAAGACCTGCAGTTTTGCTGCAGTGTAGGCCAGAAGATTATTATCAACATACCTAAAAAAGAAGGGACAACATTTTCAAGTCTTCATCTTTTTTGTTGTTGTTGTTTTCCATTCTTATTACTTCAGGTCTGGCAGGATCTTGTCTTCCTGTGTTTAATACCATGCCCTTTGCTTACTGTAACATCAACCAAGTTTGTTACTATGCCAGCCGAAATGATAAGTCCTACTGGTTGTCAAGTGCTGCTCCCTTACCAATGACACCACTCTCTGAAGAAGAAATAAAACCATACATAAGCAGATGTGCTGTATGTGAGGCTCCAGCTCAAGCAGTAGCAGTTCACAGCCAAGATCAGTCGATTCCTCCGTGTCCAATGAATTGGAGAAGTCTTTGGATAGGATATTCTTTTCTGATGGTAAGTTTCTGGGCACATGATTTCTTTCATACAGCTTTTCTACAGACTCAAACATTTCAGCTCTAAAGGAAAAGCAAGCTAACAGATGTCTAGCAAATAGTACCAAGAAAATTCAGAAAAAAACTTCACAAAATGAAGTTTTGACAGTTTCAAAACCTGTCTGTAAGTACATATATATTATGCTAAAGTCATAGCTTTGAGCTGTACGTTTCTTAAAATTGCCAAGATTTTTGCATGCTTGTCCCATAAACAATGGAATTTTCATGTACGAAGACACTTCAGGACAGTGCAGTAATAGGACAAGGAATAAAGGTTTTACACTAAAAAAAAAAAGGTAGATTTAGATTAGATACAAGGAAGAAACTCCTTACTCAGAGGGTGGTGAGGCACCAGAACAATCAGCCCCGAGGAGCCGTGGATGCACCATCCCAGGAAACGTTCAAAGGCCAGGCTGGATGGGGCTTTGAGCCACTGGAATGGTGGAACATATCCGTGCCCATAGCTGGGGGCGGAGTTAAATCTTTAAGGTCTCTTTCAATTCCAAACATTCTATGATTCTGTGGATTAGAAGTGCAGGTCTCTTCACTGCTGTCCTTTAGTCACATTAGATTGAAGAACATCGTTTAGAACCCACTTGGATTACTCTTTTCTTCAGCTTGTTAAGTACTACAAAAATAAGTCTTAGACTGTTGAGATTAGAGATTTCATCCAACAGCTGAAGGTGACTGCAACCTGAGATCACGAAAAAAAATTGAAAGCAGTTAAATAAAAAGAAAAATTAACATCATTTACATGTTTTTCACACACAGTTAACAAGTTTTTTCACTGTTCCTTCCAGCACACTGGATCTGGTGATCAAGGAGGTGGGCAGTCCCTTATGTCACCAGGAAGCTGCTTAGAAGACTTCAGATCAGCACCATTCATTGAATGCCAGGGTCAGCGGGGAACTTGTCAGTTTTTTGCTAATGAATACAGCTTCTGGCTAACAACAGTGATGCCTGACTTGCAGTTTGCATCAGCTCCCTTGTCAGGAACTCTTAAAGAAGGACAAGAGCAGAGGAAAAAAATCAGTAGATGTCAGGTATGCCTGAAGCATGATTAACAAGTGAAACAAATTAATAGCTAGAGTAAGACAAAAAAACATGCTAAAGACAAACAGTATTTAATATGTAAATATATTTTAAAGCGTGTAACTCTTTTTGCTTGAATGGATACATAAGATGGAAAGATGCATCTATTCAATTTCAGCGACCCATGTGCACATATCTGCAGGTAGTAAAATCCAGTGTGAACTACTGGAGTCTGCTACCATAATGTACAGGTAACAAGCTGAACTTGCAGGGTTGAAGTCAGTCTGCAATGCCAAGAATACAGTACATGATTATACAAGACAGTGGATTTCCTGTTAAAAGTGGCATTTAGAACAAAATATGGCATTTTATAAAGAACCCCCTCTTAAAAAGTATACAAGTGCAGATATGCAAAGAGTCAAATGTCTTAAAGTCCTACAGCTGAATTTCCCAAGCTAAAAGAAATTTTCCCATGCTGTTTCTGAGGGAAGGGGAAAATGCAATTGTTAAAACCACATGATTACACATAATAAAAGCAACAAAGATCAAAGTCTTACTGCTGCTGTACCTAACAAAACTGTGAAAGAACTTAATTGAGATTTCATAAGTAACAATAAGTTGCAAATCCATTTGACAACAGATTATGTAAGAAAATAAAATTAGATGAGATAATGAAGCCTTAAAAAGCTATATTTATATTAGTGATGAATTTCATGAGAAGAGGTAAGTAAAATTATTAAGCTTTAATCCAAGTAGCAGGAGACAACAAAGCAGTTTTTAATGCTAATTGAAAAGAAATTGCAGCATGCTGATGAACCTAAGTGAGGAATATAAGAAGCACTTGTAAAATGTTGCTAACTATTGTCGGGGGGGAGGGGAGGCTTTTTTAAAATTATTACTATTTTTAGAAATACACCACAGGAAAATTCATCACCTTTCAGAGTATTATAGAATGACTCTATAGAGACACTTTTTATTACTGAAAGCGTTGATTATGAAAAATTTTATAAGCTTAGCACTAGTCACTTTCTGGGAAAAAAAAAAAAAAAAAAAGCACCTATTCCTTTTTCCTTCAGCTATAAAACCAGAAAAATGCATATTTAAATTTTGATGAAACTACTGAAAAGCCATTGATGGCACATGGAGAATTCATTTTGTCCAGAAGGACCACAAATGCTCCTTTTACCACTTTCTAGGGAAGAATAAAACGTTTTTCCAGCACTTTTAATTTCAGTGTGTTCACTAAGAACATAAGCAGAAGGATTTTCAGACTGAGATGCAAATCCAAAAGACCCAATAATTAAAGGAAAATTCCCTCCAAAGCCATCGCAAGCATCTGATCAACCAGCTTACAGCGTGGATGCACAAAGTCAAAAAGCAGGAAAAGCACAGTCCAGCCTCAGCCAGAGGAAAATAAAGCAGTCAGAGTAACTCCATTCAAGTGTGAAAACATCAGATTGCAACTGCTTTCTGCCGAGACCACCAAGCCGTACTGATCTGCTGTGCTGACATGGTTGGCTCCTACCCTCTCACCCAGGAAACAAAGCCTACCTGGGACACATCCCTGTAGCCACCTGCCATGGGACACATTTCCCTTTGGGATCCTATCTTCTCACTAGCACAGAACCCTCAGTTCACTGCTCAGTGACCGTAGCTGCATGTTCTTCCCTTCAAATATGGCACATCACTTTTTTTTCCTCTGAGAAGGGACTGATTTTTCAAATTTAATCTTTTCCTGCTTCAGATGGCATCCCACAAGCACAATGCCAGCTTTCTGGTTGAGAAGAAGTAGGGTTGTGACCCTCCAAGGTGTTGAGGATCCTCAGCATTTGATGCAGTGAGAAGAAAGCAGCACGTAAAGGGGAGCACTGTGTCTCAGCCGCCTACCCTTTGAGGTGCGCAGCCTGCATTTCCAAGGCCTAATATAAAACCACACTGTTAGTTTCAGCTTTCATTCAGTAACAGCTGAATACCCTATTTGTTTTTCTCAAGTGAGGCCCCCATTGCCTTCTTGGACTTTGAGGACTCCACATGTAGGTTTCACAAGACAACATTCACCACCTTCTTTGTTACACACGTGCAGCCCCTTTTTAGGTTAGAGGCTCTCTGGAAGGGGCATTTTGTTATGAGTACTTGCAGTGTAGCTTACAGTAACGTACCATGGGACATCAGGAAAAATTTCTCCAGCCCAAACAGCCCCAGTTCCCCCCACCCACTCCCTCCTGCGTCATTTTCTAGTTTCTTCACCAGCTTCGTTGCTCTTCTCTAAATGTGTTCCAGCAGCTCAGTAACTTTCTTGCGCTGAGAAGCCAAACTGAACACAGCACTTCAGGTGCAGTCTCACCACCAGTGCATACAAGAGAACAATCCCGTCCCTGCTCCAGCTGACACTCTATCTGACGCAGGCCATATGCTGTTGGCCTCCTTGCCCACCTGGGCACACTGCGGGCTCCTGTTCAGCTGGCTGTGACCAGCACTCCTGGCTCCCATTCTGCTGGTGACTTTCCAGCCTCTCCTCACCAGGCCTGTACTGCTGCGTGAGGCCATTATGGCCCAAGGACAGCACCCAGCATCTGAAGTAGCCATTTCAAAACACTCTACTGCTTTGGTCATGTTCAATTTTAAATGGCCTAAAACAATTGTGTTCTATGATTTTGAAACAAAGTTTTTGCACCTGTGTCAGCTACATTTTACTGTTTCCTATAAAAGCATTGGAGATGTCCATGTAATCTACCACTGATAGCTTTGGATGTCTAATAGCTATGTAGGTTTCTGTCTTGCATTTAGCTGATGGAGGCATTTGTCAAATATCAGACTTAATTCAAAATGAAGTTGCAGATGAAGTGCTTAATGTTATTAAGCAAATAAGACATACTAAATTACAAAGCAGGTGTACTCTAATTCTGCAATCATTGTCCAGAGAGTGTACACAAAAAAAAATAATAATTACACACAAAAAAATAATTACACAAAAAAAAATTAAAAAAAAAAAGGTAAATTATTCATATGGGATCTAATTATGAAATTCAATGTAAAAAGGTATAGCTGAAATAATTTTTAAGTGTTAAAACAGTTTTAAGGCAATACTCCCGTGCTAGTCTTACAGCCCAAGTATCACTGCATTCAAGAACTTTGAATCTTGTGTGTGCCCCACAGAGAAGCAACAATTTTCCTACACAGTAGGAAGATATTAATAGCAACACCAAAATATTCTGCTGGCTGGGCTTTCTGGTTGTTGGCATTACAGCCATTCAGGATTCCATTTGGATGGAAGCCCCAGTCCTCGGGGAATATAAATGTCCTACTGCATTCAGTGGTTCAACTATGGATGTATGGAAGTGCCAACGAGGTTACCTGTATGGAACTTGTTCCTAGGCACATGACTGATGTGAGCCTGGGCAAGCAGTGACAGCACAGCTGTTCATCCTGCAAAACTCCCTGAGCACTTACTGGCACAGGCCAGCAACAGCTGATAGAGCTTCATCAGCTACCAGTGAGGGAATGGAGCAACAGCAGGGCAATCCCAGATCAGAAAACTACTAAAGTCTTATTCCCAGAACCACATTATTATATGCAACAAATTCAGGCAAAAGCCTTCCAGGAACTTTTCCAGGGTAAACTCTTAACCAAAACAACTCTTTCTTCCTCTGGCTGGATTGTAAGCGCCAGCGAAACAACAAGTATTAAAGCAGTCCAAAAAATCTGGTAGTCTACACTTCTTTCTTATTTTGAAAACAGCATTAAAGTACACAAGTACTTAAATAATTGAGGGGAAAACAGAGGTTGATCTGATTGTATCACTTTTTCTTCCAATATACAGCTGAACATAGTCAGTTTACTATGACAGTGCAAGCAATCTAGCACAGTACATGAGACCATATCATCAACCCTCATCAATTCTGCAGGTATTGCCAATGTTCAAACTCAGGAAACAAACCACGTCCATCTGGGCAGTTTTCTTTCTGGAGTCCCAGACAGACTGCTGTAAAGGAGATCACTTTACAGACTGAAGCCTGGTCCTGTAAGATCTTGCACAAGCAATCCCAAAATAACTTTTAATTGAATTCAGTCTGCCATACTTTAAAGAAAGGCTGCAAATGTGGACTTCTGTTTAATGCTTTACATGCCCTCTGGAATCAGCTGCCTGGCAAGAAAGAAAAAAAATCATTCAAAATCATAGGGAAGATGGGTCAATTAGAAATAATGGGGAACAGTTGCTTGCAAGAAAAGGGATTACTCAAAAAACAGTTGTGAAAAAGAGTTAGGAAAGGATCAGCCTTGCCTCTGAAATGATAAAAACTGTTACACAATTGCTTCGGTAAAAACTTCAGCAGGTAAGGGAATTACTTCCCCAGAACGAGCATCGATTTCGTGGCTGGATACTATTTCAAACACCAGCATTTTATAAAAGTAAACGTTTGAAGTTCTGCCCACCACAACCAGCTGGAAAACAAGCGAAGTAGAGGAATCCTGTCCACAGCATTCAAACAGATACTGCTCTGTGCTCGTACCTTTCTATCCACTTCATCTAGAGGGTCCAAAAGGTATTGGAAGTTCAATTAGAAGTGAAATTCTGTTAGTGTTAAATGAAAAAAACAGCTCCACATCATTCTGGAATTTATATAAACACGTGGTTCCCCAGCATAATGTGGACAGCCTTCAGCATCTAAAAACACCTCCGAGCAAATCTCACCTTTTCAACCAGCACAGTGCTTGGCTGCTTCTCAATAGGTATCAAGTATGTTAAATGCTTTGTTTTCCACAGTTACAAGCAAAGCAAAAAGATGATGCAAAAGAAAAATCAATACTGATTTCTAAAGAAACATGCACACTCTGACACAAACCAACCCCTCTGTTTAGGGATGCCAAGCAGAGAACCATCACCGTGCACTACCACCTCACAGTTTACAGAAAGATTTAGAATAAAGTATTCGAGCCCCAAAACTGCACCGTGTTCAGCTTGGTAAATCAAAACTTTGCTACAAAAAATAAAAAATAATAATAATAAAAAAAAAATCAAGATCTTTTACAGAATTTAGTCTTCCATGCAGTTACAACAAATACCACTGCTTCAGATACTCAAGCCATTTTTCCACAACAGCCACTCTGACCTCAGCTCTTGAAAACTCCAGGCAGAATGGCAGTAGGAAGCCTGACCTCTGCACACCGTGCATTTCAAACACTGCCAACACTGCTGAATTACAATGTGCTCCAATGCAAATGAACAAAACCTTATCAAACCAGATGAGTTGCACTGTTAACAGGATAGCTGAACTTAGCTAATTAAGAACGCAGTCCACCTGTTAATCAGACAAAAGAACATAATAGCATTTGCAGATGCTGGATGTATACACTGGAACTGGTTTTCAGGAATCAGCAAAAAAGGTCATCCCACACATTAAAATTGTACAGATTTAGGAACCATTCCTTAGATCACTAGGTACAGAGGGAAAAGACAGATTGCTGGTCTTCCCATCAACACAGCCATTCTCAAATGATCCCAGTAACGAACACTTTGGTGATGGACTTAATCAAACACCCTCCAATAACGCAAGAGCAAGTAAACAGTAAATGTTAGACTCAGATATTTGTCTAACTTGCTCCATAAAGACTACAGAAGGTGACTGCAGAATGTTGGCTTATTACAAAGGTCCACTAGTCAGAAAGCCTTCGCTCACATTCATTTTGCTGCACATTACCCAGTTTCTTCTTGTAAACAAACAAAAGACACCAAGTTAACTCTGCTCTCATACAGCAGAAGACTGTTAGCACTGTATCTCAGTCTTGTGTCTTACTAACCCACTGCTTCAATCTTCAGGTGACACAGGTGAATATAAGTAAAAATACCCACACCAGATGAAATGTTACCGAAAGTCCCCATTCTCCAATTTTCTCATCTCTGAGCTAACTTACATGAGATAAGATTTATACCCTTTAGGAAGAGTAAGTTTCCTTTACAAACAGTTCTACAGCTGAAAGCTGAAAATCATTAACATTTACTTACCTGATTTAAGGTGACAACAATGGAAGGGAAGCAGGCAGATTTTGACCTAATTTGCAGCCTGTACTGAGAACAGTATCAGCAGTGACACTCTAGAACCATCTCTCCTGCTGTGGTGATGTACCATTTTGACAGCAGATTTTAGGGCACCTTCCCCCTGAGGAGAAGCTGTGCTGCTTGGAGAAAACGACTCACACATGAATATATGCTTTGCCTTTGCTGAAAGACAAAACAGAAGTGGGGGGGGAAAAAAAAACTTTAAAAGTTAAACACTGCTTTTTAACCGCATCTTAATTTGGGACTGCAATGTACCCATATTTATAAGCAGTAAGATGCTAGGTCACTGAATCAGTAGGTTTCAAGAATAGGCCTGTTAACAAGCCTGCTGCTTGGGATTGATTGATGGTGTAGGATTTCTTACATGGTAACTGATCACTGAGGTCAGACAAAGCATAAAGCATTCTCAAGAACACACAGCATCTGAAACAAAGGAGACAAACTTCAGGTGTCAGAAGTGTTGGTGCTTCGTGTTGTTTGTTGCTGCCGTGTGCTTGCGGGGTTTTGTTGTTTTCTTTTTAAATCAGAACTGCTCTTTTTTTTCTTTTAAATCCTAATTTTATGTAGCCATTGTCAGCCACTAAACAGAAAATACTCAATGTGGAATTTCCCATTCACATACACTGTCCTGAATTTCTGCCCTTGAAGAGACAGCAGTACACATGAATGTCAAGAATTCACCTGTGACTTTCATCTACCAGCCTCAGTGGATGTAAGTCCCTACGGAAGAATCACTCTAAAAATTTCCAAAATGCTGTTAATAAAGGAACTTCCCAGTAATCCAATCCCCAAACTTCCACTAAGTTCAGAAGAAGCAGGAATAGTCCTAACACAATTAATCTGCCCCCTCAGTATCACCATTCTTCATTCCTAACACTATTATGGCAGCTCTATTTGAAATATATGCTTTAATTACTATAATGAGAAACAGACACTATGAAATATAAACAAACTTTATTTCAATTTTTTTACACAAAAAATGAAAACAGCTGAACAGCTATTAGTACTGAGAGGTTTTCTTAAGAATTTAATGGCAAACGTTCAACAGAATGTAAGCATGAGGAACTTCCTGTGTTACTCACGTGGTTGTAATCACATTCTTCATCTTGGTTTCTGCTTTACTTCCTCCAACTAACTAGTGAAGTGCAGTGCTTTTAATTAAAATGATGCAGTAAATTGCACAAGCATTTGACCAGTGCGTTACATTTTGTCTGAGGAGACAATCCTCCTACTTCCTCCTTTTCACATCATTATTACACACTGAGCAAAATGTGCAAACTATGCATCTTTTTGATATTTAAATACCAGAAAGTTAGCCTACTGTAAGGTACGCCTATCTGCTTTTTTGTTCTGCAGCTACTGAATATACTGAAGAACAACCAAGGCACACGCATCAGGAAAAAAAGGCAAAAACACAATAATTCACCATTACTTATCCTTTGTTTTAGAATCTGACCGAAAACACTGTGCATAACATCAACAGCGTTTTCCTATCACCTAAACAATTACATCCAAAGTCAAACTGCATTCGTGCCTTTGGGCTCTCAGAGCCTTGAACCTCATATCCAGTATAACAGTGTGCAGCTGCTGGGCACGCAACCGGGAATAGGTAGGAAGGTGAAACAGAATGGCACATTAGTGGGAGAACAGCTTATGCGTTTTGCAGCAAATATAAACTTCCCCAGCTTACATTAATAGCAGGAGATACATTCTGTTTAAACCACATCTTTTTTTTCCCCTTTTACACTCAATCTGTAACTTCATAGAGAGAGACTTCACATAGCACGTTGGTGATGATATCTCTGAAAAGAAATCATTACATTGCTCATCCTAGCACCAGGTTAAGTGAGTGCTAAAGAGTTACAAACAATTCTGTGCCGAAAGACAAAACCCATTTTTGTTCAATCACACCTCTCCAGGTCTGAAAATAGTTATAGGAGTATCTTTCAGATGAATTTTTTCCCATAAACAAGAAAAATAAGTCTAGGCAATGAATGGTTTTTCAGAATGATACTCAAAAAAAGCATTATGTTAGTTAACATCTCTGAACAGACAGATAAGCCGCCAGCAGGGCAGAGAATAGATGGCCTGTGCACAGGGACAGCCGAGCTCCCAGCTCTGCTGTCAGCCACTCCAGAATTAAGTCCAGGAATGCTTTCTAGAAAATGAAGAACTCCAAGTTCACTGTGTTAAGGCAAGACCTCCACCAGCCTGCAAACTATTACCACTGCTCCCTGGACCTCAAACGCGATACATATAGAGTTGAACAGCTGAATTTCTACAGCTCTATAAACAGCTTATGCACAATATAATTCAATGTAATTTCCAAACCCTCTTAAACAGGAAGACAGGTATTTCTAAGAAGTACAAGTTAACAACTAAATCTATTCCTTGTATGGCTTATGCATCTTCCTTTCCATGAAAAGTCTAAACCTAGACTCGTGTGATCCAGCTGTTGTCCTCATGGCAGTCTTTTCAAGTGACAATTCACATCCCATCCCAGAAGAGTTGTTCATCTCAAATCAAAAATAAGTAATTGCATAGTTATAATTATAAGAAATTGCATAGTTTTAAAGTTACACTTTAAAAGGGTTTATTGTTTTTTGTGTTTTTTGTTTTTTTTTTTTCTCTGTGATGGATGAAGAAAACCTGTTGTCTGAGAATACCAGCAGTCAAAGAGCCAGGCTACACAGAACTTCAGGGAAAAAAAGCTTGGTAAAAAACAGTTCTCTTTCATCTTTAAGATGCATCAAAATCGAATGACAAAGATCACACTTTGATTCCCAACTCATTTTTATCCAATTTTTGAGTCTAAGCTCACAAAATCTTCTGCAGTTTTGCAAATAGTAGTTAAAAAAGAAAATGAAGATACCCAAATAAATAAATTTGCAAATATTTTGTGAATTCTGAATCTCACTTTACAGTTTACATCAACGCCTACCCCCGTCATTGTCTCCAAAACCTACGAAGCCTTTGCCTTCGCATTTCCTCTTCTGAATGCTGCTCAGGGGGGAACCAAAAGCCGTAGGGTCGCCGCTCGTTATTGTATGCTGCTCCACCAAAACCTAGAAGACAATGAAAAACAATTGTTATTTTGTTCTGTAATTTGAAAAAAATGCACACATACCCTGCAATCCAAAACATCACAACACAAAGGAAACAAGGCACTGAATGTTTCCAATTCCAATGGTTTCAGGACTATCCACTTCCAACAAGTGCTCTTAAAACTCTGAAATGGAAAACAGCAAGAACATTCGCACACCCCGAAGTCTAGAGTGTATCAACTTGGGAGTACGCATTATTCACAATCTCCACTTCATACAGTAAACTCCAGATTGTTACAATATTTAGACATCCTCAATAGCTACTTCTGGCAAAACAAGCTTCTGTATTTGCTTATATAATAGCAGTACAACATGCTGATCCATAACAGATGCACAAACAGGTCCATATTCAGTTGGCAGCAAGCAGTTTTGGAAATAAACTAAACTAAACTTGGCACGTCAGCTAGACAGAATTGCAAGTTAAAGTGAACGGAAATCTCACCAAGACTGAAGGAAGGTTCTCTGCTCCAGCACTGCAAGAAAAAACAATGCACGCAATAGAAAACAAAGCAAAGCAACTGCTCCAAATTCACATTAATTTACAGAGCAAAGAGAAGGATTAAAAGGTTGTGGTTGCACACAACCTCAACCAATGGGCCTTGGGAAACAAAAATGAGAAACCATTCTCTGAGCTAATGCAGAGTATTCAGGTTAAAGAACTTAGCCTTAAAGATAATGCAACAGTTTTTGTGATACCTGGTATTTCTTAAACCTCCACCTCAGGATCTCATATCAGAACAAGCAAAAAATGAAAACCTAAGGCAAGTATGCTATCATGCTCATTTTCAAAATAGATATTTAATTGCAGGTTGGAGTGAGCAGGAGAGACCTGTTTACACTGGGTATTAACAGAAAGTCCAATTTATGAAGGGGTTCTTCTAATTTCTGCTTCATTTAGAAGAGCATTTCAATTTGTAGAGCACTTGCCTAATGCAGTATTTTGTGAAAATACAGAACGTGGTCAGAATTTCTTTTGCGCTTGCCAAGTAGGGAAGCTGTGGGAAAATGCAGAGATAACTGCAGCTGCCCAAACACGGCTGTGCAGCAACAACAGCATCAACGTTTAGAAAACAAGATGCATTGTGTGAGAGTATTTTTTAAATTCATTAATACGCAGAAAATTAATGTGTATTTTAGTATTTTATCTTCAGTTTGTCCCTCTGCTTCAACTACCAGAGACAAATCCGAAAATAAATTTAAGCTGTTTCTTTGTGTCTGGAAAGGGTACTTCATTGTTTGACAAATGTTACATGAACTCCCTGGAACTTACCATCACTTACCCCATGTAGATGCATTATTCTCCAGAGCAAAACAGCACATCAGCTAGGGAATTCATCAAATTTCAGTGAGGAACTAATGTTACCTCATTTTGAATGCATTTCAATGGCTTATCTTAATACTGTGACAATTGTGAATATACATGCATGTCAGCAAGTGCAGATGGGCATTAGAAAATAATGATCAGAGTACTACATAAACCTGATGTGCATTGGAATCCCTACAGCTCAGCACAGGTCCCATCTCTGGTTAGTTTTGTTTTTCACTTTAAATCCAAGAATAAACTCACTGTCTTCAACAAATCAGTTAACTTGATGTGCAGCATGAGCAGAATGGGTTTCGTTAATTAAAAAGATTCAGCAAACTTAACATTCATTCACTACTTTTATTTCACCTCATTTTACTTTCTTATACATAGAATGTGTGTTTGGAAACAAAAACACACAGTTGTTTAACTGTGTCCTATGAGCACAAACGGAGAGACGTGAGCTTGAATCTTTCCATCACCCTATGAACATTCTTCCTGAAGTGAAAAAACCCAAAAACTCCAAATTGGAAAGCACGAAGCAAAGTGGTCAGCAGACATCAGACCCTTCCACAATAGTACCAAGGGGAAAAAAGGCCCCAAACCACCCAACAGATCTTTTAATGCCAACATTTGTGAACGCCTCATATTGTGAAACATACTGGAATACTATTTTATCCGCGAACAAACTGTTAAACACTGAATTTGTTACAACGCTCTCAGTAGTGATGTTTATGTCAGTGCATGAATGTTTCATAAGATCAGTTGTTGCAATTCTCAGTTCTTTTTTTAATTGCTATGTTACACCTGGGGTAAATAAACAGAAAATAATCAGTAAGTTAAGACTCATCAGTGTTAAGATATGAATGTCTTCCTTCTGACATATGAAGAGCAATACAGTCATGACTGTAAATCCTGCTAATTGCTGCACCGTACAGCATCAAAACAGCACTGTTTTGTTGGTTTTTTTAAAATCATCATTAAAACATTTCAACTTAAAAAAAAAAAAAAAATACTTTCCATCATGCCACTGTCCATGAAATACCAAGGAGTCTCATGAAGCTGTGAATTTTTCTATGCAGCATCTGTGGTCAGGTTTTACTTCAGAAACCAGATACCATTTGCAAATTAAGACGAGTTCTGGCAGAGCGCCCCAGTATCTGCTCAATTCATTAAATACAAGGAGCTCCAATAACCACTAGAAACGGAACAAGATTTTATAACAAGGATGCAAAACGCTCCTCTATCTGCTGGCACCAAAATAAGGCGAGTAACGTATTCTGAAACCTTCATGAGAAGATATTTTTGTACATCAAACAACACACTGATGAGTGAAGTTGTTTCAGTGAGTCTTAAAATAGGAACATAAATATATAACTGCATAGACCTAAATTACACCATTACCCAAAATAGTTCTGCCGCCTTTTTTAATTACAACAGAAATATTAATGAAGTAACAGCCTTACCTAACCAAAATATTTATAGGCCATGTTGTTCAGAAATGGTAATTAGGCCACAACCGCACAAGAGAACGCAATCTTTTCAACACATCAGCAAAAAACTTCCAGACTAACGGGCTTTAAGACTGCGTTTACAGTATTCCAAAAACAGCAGTAACAGCAGAGAGACAAAACAAAGGATACAGCACAGAAATTAGAGCACTAAACTCCCAATACCATACTTCAAAATTAATTTTACTGTGAATAAGAACCGTCTTCTGTGTATAAGGAGAATATTCTTACTGTGAGAGTTTTCTTTGTTGCTGAAGTTTACAGTTACAGGAGCAGCAATAGAATAGAATGACTGTAATTGCAAATAGTCTAAATCTGTATTGCTCTCAGAGATAGGGTTTGACTGGTCCTGCATGGAGCTGCGGTTGGACTCGAGGATTCTTGTAGGTCCCTTCTGAATCAGGGTACTCTAGGATTCTGACACCTTAATATATACTTCCACAAGGCTTAAGGATCACTGTATCTGCCTTATCTTTGCTTTCCTGTGACTGAGATTTGTGCAAGAAAGGAAGAACTTGTTGAGGAACTGCAAGGTTTATAGAAAGCATGATTACTGCAGGCGAATTATTTTCCCTGAACACGTGCCAATGGACGCTACAGTACTGGACGAGGAACAGCCACATCACCATTTCTAGTTATTCAGAAGAACATTTATCTGTTGAATGATAGTGAATGTGAACCTCCAGCCACACACACTGCAAACACAAAGCAACCAGACTACTCCACAAAGGAGCACACGGATTTCCCACAGACTCTGGAGCTGTTGATCAAGATGTGCAGCAGCTGCCTCTGGCAGCAAAGCCAAACCCAGGAGCCAGCTGGCAGTGCCAGGAGGCCATTTGGTGCGTGTTCACCTACACATTGATCTCTAAACAAGATCAGATCTAAGGACAATTTGAAACATGACATACTGTCAGTGTAATAATAAAAAGCCACAAAATGTCTGAAGTGTTCATTTTTCTCCTCTGCATTAAGTGTGGTATAAGGAAGAAAAATAAGACAATCACCACGCAGAGTTTTCATTCTATCTTTCGTACCTATCACAGAAATACTGCCTCAAACACTCAGTTCCTCCTGCTCTCTGAGGTAATGGCCTCAGTTTTAGGTAAGGCAGTAGGATTTTCAAGAACTTCCAAAAGCATCAGGAAGATTGAATATCAAAGACAAAGTTGTTTTGTATGCTGCTGCACATTGACAACAGGAGGGAATGTTTGTGCTATTACTATATATGTATAATTATAGATACTTTTTTTTTTTTTTTTTTAAATGCAAGGAACAGACTCTCAATAGAAAAAAATATGGAAGAGATGCAAACCAGTCTTAGGACTGTAAGGACACTGCCAGGATTTTGGCCAACAAGACCAAAAAAGATTTATACTTTCCACAAAACTACTAGAAAATATTTATGTAGTCAGACATCAGGAAGAGATTGAGAGCATTTTTGAGACAGTCCCAAGAAACAAAGTGCAAGCTACACTCATTTGTAGAATTAATCCAGAGACAATAAATAATAAAATAGTAAAATAATGGGGAATTCCAAGATTAGGATTATCCATAGATCTTAGTTTGGAGAAGCTTTTAGTGGTAAACTAGGTTTGTTCATGTTCTCAAGAAATTTAATATTTAAAATCATGTTTGGAAAAAAAAAAAAAATGTTTTTCTTCTAGTGCATTTCTGCATGCCTAACAAAGACACAACAAAGAAACTCTAAACAATATCCATCTCCCAGAGCCAAGACCAAGAATCCCAGACAGATGGATGGAAGCACCAATGACGACCGAAGCCACTCTGCAGCAACTCCCTCTTTCTCCAGAGTGGAAGAAAGCACTTTTATGTAGCCCCACACAGCTTCTTCTAATTACATCCACAGCTGTTCAGCAGAAGGGCCTGTTCTCCAGCAAGGTGACCCTGCCAAACCCACTGTGGAAGGAACATTTCTTCCTCTATGAAAACGTTACTAAGGGAAAAAAAGTCCAGAGACCACTGAAGTCAATAAAAAAGCTCCCATTTGTATCACTGAGTCTTGGATCAAAACACCAAGAACAGACCATCTCCATATGTAGATCCAGCTTTTGTAACAGAAGTAGCATGAATGTAAGGAAAACATTTCTATCCACAAAGGTTTAACTATTTATTTATTAAAATGTTTTCTTGGTGTTTTCCTTGTCAGTCGAATCTCGCGTGAAAGAAAGGGTCCAAAAGAAAGCTGTACTGGTGGTACCTTCAAAAACTTCTCATATACTTAAGAAGCTACAGAAAAAAAAACAGTATTCTGTGTATTTTTTAAGGTGCAGATCTACATCGATACTTTGTGTCAACAGTAATGTCTGTATTTTAAGTGCAAAGATAACAGTTACTGAGACTTCTATATGATCAACTCCTTGGTAGCAGAACCTGGGAACTGCCCTGTCACTGTCAACTTGTTGCCTAAAGACCAAAGGAACTCAGCCACACGAGGCAGCCTTTCCAAAAATACCAGCTACACTACCAAGGTTTGATGGAAGGAACAAAGGATGAGCTGCACCACGAGTGTCGTCATCCCCAGGTGTCAAATACTGCAATTAGTAACCTTAACACAGCACTGCATCCAGCCTAATTAGAGAGAAGCGAGCAAAACCCGTTTCCTGGAAACCTGCCCCAGCAGAGCACTGGTGGTCAGGAACACAGACCACAGGTGCAGTTTCAGGAAGATGTAGAGATCTGTGTTAGAAGCAGCGTTACTCGGGAGAACTTTCTGCCCAGAACACATTGCTGGGCACATAAGATCAAATAACACCTAAAGAAAAAAAAAGCTGGACTTAAAGAATCAAGACACCAATCTTAGCACGGGTATTTTGGAATGTATTTCAGTCTGGTATCATGAACTGCACATATGAGCATAGAATTCATTTTAAGACATTTCTACAGAAAGCCACCCGTCAAATACAATGACTAGCATTCCTACAGTAGCAAATGGGGAAGATAGCTCTGAAGAAAGATGGAATTATACATTTGTTTCATAAGTCTTGCAATCTTCAATGGATTTAGCACATTCCATAGGGTACTATTAAAATGCCCCATCTCAATACAAGGAAACAGAAATAGGAACTCTAAAATGAAATTCAGGGAACTGGCAAGCCTTCATACTTCATAACCATGCAGCAGATGCACCTAAGGTTAGCCTATGCTAGGCCACAAACTCCTCCTTGATTTAAATCAGAATAAAAGAAACGCACGACTAGAGATGTGCTTTATAACATAGAGGACTATCTACATATGCATACTTTAACCACAGAATGCAAAGACCAACACCTACATGTTTAAAAACTTCAGAGGAAAATTCCTTTGTGCAGAGACACGAGTTTGCAAGGGATTCTTAACATTCTTGAGACTGAAAACCACAAACTTGGAAGTTCAGCTCACAAAAACAACCCAGAGCCCACCCACCACAAGAATGCAAACCCACATCCCACACCAATCAAGATATTCTTGCAAGCAGAATACGAAGGAAACAACAGAGAAGAGATAGGGCATACTGGGGTTACATTAAAGACAGCTGTTAATATGAGGATTAAACCAGAACGGAAAGCCATGTATTCTACCTCCACAGTAAAACCATACAGCTCAGTTACAGGGCAAGCAGAAATGCAGTACCTTCATGCTGGGCTTAGATAACTCATGCATGGTGGGATTATATTAAAAATTACAGGGACTGAACTTGATGCACACCTCGATACAAATTAGTTTGCAGTTGTGGACAATAAGTGATAGCAGGACATTCTGGACGATGCCACAGATGGCTTTACTAGCCTGGCAGGATACTAACACAGCAATTTGACCTCTACATTCCAAGTCTAAAGATACATTCTGTGGCCTAAAACCCCTTGTAAATGCATTTGTCCAACAACAACAACAAAAAATTACCACTGTCCTTTGTTCAGCCAAGCTACAGAGCAACTATGATGGTTTAAATGTCACAGATGATGAATCAGAGAAGAGTACCCTGAACTTTGGTTCTGGGACCTGTGTTTACATCCACTTACATGTCTGCTTCACATTATTTCACGTAATTTTTAGTCACGTTAGGTACCTGTTTCATCATCCATATAATTGCAGGCTACAGCGAACGCCACGCAAGCATCTTCTGTTGAAAAGACAGCACTCACTGAAGCTGATTACTTTTCATACTGACAAGGAAGAGTATTCTATTTGCTCATTAGCACAAAAAAAACTCATCTCACCCTTTCTGCCACTCTAGTGCAGGTATGATCAATTACATACCCTCTGTTACTTTATTTTGGAAATATGACCTGTGTCTGTAGGTAAGATAACTTGTTTTACTTGTAAGTAACTTGTTTTATGAAATATTCAAAATTGAGCTCTCAAATATTTTCCAAACTGAAACAGCAAGTAGGGAAAAGCAATGCAAAGCTAAAATACTGCTCAAAACCCCTGGAAACAACATCTGTAGGAACGTCACTGCAAACACCACACAATATGATACATTTTCCCACTTATCTGTGTGCTCCAAAAGCTCTAACCAGCACTGAAAACAAACATGGCCACAGACATCAGAAGTGCTGCTCTCTCGAACTGTAGTTAAGCCTGTGACTTGGCACACCAGCTTTCCAGCAGTGAGGCATGCTTAGCTAGAGATGCTATTTTAATTCTCTCTCAGGTTTCATAGCACATCCTCCAAATAAGAATACATTTCCTCTTATCTTCGTCCAAATGCTGCATGGAACTCCAAAACACGAACAGAAATAACACTCACCTACAGGAACAGAAGTAAAGGCTACAGAAGAAAGGTGCAGGTGTTCCACACTGATGTATGAAAGACTGAGATGCAAACTGTCCAATAATTTATATTATCCATTTTGTCCTTATTATAAACTAATTTCATTCTGTGGAAATATCATCACTTTCTTTTATTGTAATATCAGCTCCTATGTGCAAATCCCTTCCACAGTGAGCTCAGAATTTGACATTTTCAGATACGTGAGACTCTGATAAAAACTTACAGCCTTTCCTTGTACAGTGTGACTTCAGGCTTCGAAATGAGAGTCAATTGTTTTAAGGCAGCATCCAAACCACCCTTCACCCCAAGTCACAACACAACCACTATGTGCCTATGCTCAAACAACTCAGCAGCCACAGGCACTCAGCTGTTACAGACCAAAGGACCTGTAAGAGCAGGACTCTGTACACTGACTGCTTGGAAAAATAAGCAAAAAAAAGATCTGGTGTATTTTCTTGATAGTTTAAAAAACCAAACGACCACAAACATGTCTCATTCTTGCAGCACAACACATCGCATAACACCCATCTTGAACTTTTCTAAAAGATTTTTCTCAATCAGTTAAAAAAACGTTGTAAAACATCATCTAAAACATCAGGAAAAAGCGTCCCTTCCAAAAAAGCTTAATTTAGGCATATTCCTTCCCAAAAACTCATGTTTATGTAGGGCAAAATACTGATATTATTTGGTGTTTTATTTTTAAAATTCCTAAGACAACATAATGATACCAAACATATCAACTTGTGCTGACAGAACAGATGAACCAGATGCTATTTTATTCATTTCCTTGAAAGCTAAACCCTTCACCAAGTACCAAGATTTTCAGTGCAGTGTGAATTTAAGGGAACTGTTCAGATTACTGTAATTTCTAACTGTATCACAGGGACAATTTTGCTGCAGAAATCAAGAGTGGGTTTTCCTGTTGTTTCAAGTTGCTGGTCTCACAGTACTTCAGGGCAGTTAGGAGCAAATTCCATGAGAGAACAAAGGTGAGCACACAAAAGCAAAGACAACTAGAAAAAAAAAAAATACTTTTATTACTACTTTTCCTCAAAGACTGAACTTCTGCCTCCAAGCTGACTTCCCACAACTGATGCAACAAAACAAAAAGCCATCTTTACTTACAAACAGAAGTTAATCAAATTTTCAAGCTGAAAAAGCCTTTTCAGACCACAACATTACCTTGTCTGCTGCCTTGTTGAAAACACTGCAGATAACACAGCGATATTCTTCATAACAAATAGGATGACAGCAGTTATGAGTTAGTGATGATGATTTGTGAAGCTATTCATTTCCCTATTTTGCCTGAAATTTCTAATAGCCATAAAGAAGTTTTTTTATGAGCACAACTGACGTAAATTTTACACACGCTGCTCCAATAACATACTGCTAGCCTACTGGGCATATTTCCTTCATGTCTGTTTTCACAAGCTGAGAAGTATATCCCAAGGTGTTTTTTCTTTCCCTCTTGACTTCATTTGAATTACAAAAAAAATATATATATATATATATCTCAATATATATTAATTCAACTGATAAATCGCAACTAAAACAAACAGCATTTTTATTCCTGAATTACTTCTCCCCCGTCTTTCAGCTAGCTCTCATATAAACTTTCTTCAGGGTGAAAGAGAACAACACAAGAAATTGCTACGCTACTCCTCCAATACATTATAAAACAAAATCAGCAGGAAGTTTAAACATCAGCAACATCATTGTTCCTCTGTTATACTGCTTCATATTACAATTGAGAATGAGAGGTGGTTTGTTTGTCTTTGGCACAGCAACTTTGTTTACTTGAGGTTAGTCATAAAAGCATTTCTTTTCCTGTAGTAGCAGCAATTAGCAGTAAGCAATTACTAACACATGCAGTTGTGTGAGAATGACACTGCATCCTCATGTTGTGGTCTCTGAAAATTCTACCTGGAAACATTTGGTCATTTCTGAAGGGATGTCCAAATCCTGAACATAAGTAATGAACAACACAGCCTTCCTACTCCTCCCACCTCAACACAAACCATGATCTGAAAGATGACACGTAATGAAATTCTTACCTCTTTCATTCAGACTGTTTAGCACTGCCCTTTCAAGCTGTTCTTCTTCAGTGAGCCCGCCTGTATAGTCATGATAGTTCCTTGGTGTTCTGTATTGATCACCTGGATATCTGTAATACTCTGTAAAGTGAAAACAAAGAAAATAATCTGCTGTTATGCAGTGGGAGAGGGTGAAAGCAGATGTTATCTTTACATCGTCTTTCTTCCACAAATCAGTTTAATTTGGAAAAGAAAAAATATGATTAGGAGTCAGGAGAACAGGGGTGAGAAAAACAGTAACAGTGAAGATACAGCAAGGATCTCCAGCTTTGCATTTGTTACGAATGTCATAGCATTGCCATGATTTCATGTTTCAAATAAATGGAAATAGCTTTCATCAGCTCCCCCCCAGCACGTAACTGCCAGTACCAGGCCTTCAACCACCCAACAGCAACAAGACAACCACGTGGGCTTCAGGCTTTTCCATGTGCACCTCGCCTCAGCCCACAAACAACGCGTCATCCTAAGCGCAAGTCACGTTTGAACCTAGAACATGACTAAAGAATTCTGCATTTCTGTACAATGCTGTACAGTGTACAACACTGTGCTATGCCTGCTCTAAAGAAAGCCAACACAGCCTGCAGATCTCATCTGCAACCACTGCATTTTCCTGTACCAGACATTTCCGTGAACAAAGTCAGTCAAAAACAAGTGTGGAAAACCACCATCCATCCAAACATGTGCAATTTAAAAAAGAAGAAAACAACCTGGCTGGAGAATGGAGCGAGACTTGATTTAGCGGAACCTAATCCTGCCTGAACACAGAAAACCCAACCTGAGAAAAACTCATGAGCAAAGTCCCAATTTGTTTTCTAAATGTTCTATTTTCAGAATATAAAACTTTGGATAATTTCAGTTCTCCCTCTTCCAGACAACCAGACATTAGATTTGGAAGAACCAAAGTACAGAAACACAAACAGTTTTACCCACGTGATTAGAGAAAGTACATGAGATTTTCAAAATGAAAGAAATAATGGAAATATTTCTGCATGAAACAAGTACAGCATGCCACCTCTTTTTATCTTCAGATAATTAGCACCAGTAATAATAGTCACATATTACCTCGCTAGTTACAGATTCCATGTGGAACTTTAAGGAAGACTAACAAGCACAGACTATAAACTGAGATGTAATTGATTTCATACACGTGTGCACATGGTTTTATATGAGCATACACACAATATTGGTGCACACAAAAATGCAATCCTGCCCTTTTGAGAACAGACAACAGCTGACATTGGGATGAATTTTCATAAAAGCACAGCAAAGATTTGGTGTTGTCCTGCAATCTGAACTGCTGCCATTTCTCAATTATCTGCTACTCCTCTGCTTAGAAAATGATGAACATGTATTTTTAAATCCCTATAAATTAGTCATTTTTAACAAGCTTGAAAAGCCTCTCAGTCACAGTGGCGTTATTTAAGAGACAATTCTGCAGAAAAACATAAAACCAACTGCAGAATATCTCTTAGCTGACACACACACATTTTGGATGCAATCTTTATGCATCCCCTTATTCCCCTCTACATTATGTTAATCTGAATGTCTTCTCAGCTACAAATTTATTTTCTAGAGGCTTCAAAACTGCCTGCACGAAGAGTATAAAAATCCTGGTTTTATCTGATAAAAGAAGGATGCTGCCTTTTAAGTTGACTGTAAAATATGGTAAATGTGATACTGTACATTGTCCTCGAGTTGTAAGTGCTGACAAAGCTGTAATCTTCTGTTTTACGATGAGAAACAATTCAGTAACATTGACATGTTCAAGGTGTTCCTATTAATCCCAATAAGTATCCTAATATTTTATTCATGAACTGTCTTTGGAGTAAACCTAATTCAGTCACCAATTACTGGGTTAAAATTACAGCTGAAATATTTTTTTTTTCCTTCTAAAGCTGTTTCTTTGCGCTGCTGCATAAATCCATTCTGATTATCTATTTTTTATTTTAATTAATAAAGTCAGGCAGCAATAACTCAGCAATACCAAAAAATAAGAAGTTCAGGTAAGGTTGTACTGTATGTACATAGTGAACCTGCAACACTACAGAGAGTTTTCCTAATTCACAAATGGTCAAATGTATTACTATATCATACAACAAGCAAATTGTGAATTCTTCCTTGAAAACTCATGCAAGTAGGATGAAAGATAACTATGAAAAATATACATAAGGAAAAAAATGTATATGTATCAGAAATATGTATATTTTACAATTACAATTCAGTTTACAGAAAAGAATTTACTAAAAGAAAAATTGTTATGTCTAAAGCCAAGCTTGGAAGACAGGATAATTCATGTTAACCTCACTCCTTTAGCTCCCTTCCATGACCACCAACTCAAAGCAGCACCACCTGTTACTCTGGGAACTGCTCAAGCCATACAACAAGAAGCAGACTTTCTTTTTGCCAGTGCCCTACAACTTCTTCCCAGGTGCTATGTAGTCCCCTGTATCATTCTACACTACATGAAGTGCTGTTGCTGGTTAGGAAGAGCTGGAAAAGATGTGCAGGACAGTTCAGGATCTGCTCCACAAAGGTTGTCTTTAACACCCACCGCCATCCTGAACACCTGGTGTCTGTACAATGGCTGCAACAGATTAGAGAATTTAAATATCAAGTGCAAGTTCTTATCTTCATTAGCAAATTAAATTGCCTTTTCCAATATAAACCATTTGATTTTCCACACATGCTGCTATGCTGGTATACTGAAGGAAGGTTTGGTTGTTATTAACACAGAACACAGAGTAATGCAGATGAACAGAAACTATACCTAGGTGAACATCTGAGCTGGCCTGAGAACGCAGCTGGAAGCAGGCAGCTCATGCACCATACATCTCCTATTTTAAGGAGTATGTATGTAATTCTATGTAGGAGTACTGTATGTAATTCAACACCTTATTTTATTGAGCAATTCATTTTATTTTTATTGGTCTTCAGGTCAAACATTATATCTTTAATTTGAGAACTGGATTAATAAAAATCCTGGGTAAATACACTTCTAAGTTACAACTGCCCTTGCCGTTCTTTGTAAGGAAAATACACTGGGATATTTGGTTAGGAATTACAAATCAAATACTTTTGAAATACTCAAGGGCAAAATTTTCCATTTGGTCAGCTCTTCTGCATGTTTTCTATTACAAGCAAAAATTACACTCCTATTTGTAAAACCAAAATAAGTTTTTAGGTAAGTGGATGAGAATGTTTACCTGAATAACCCGAATAGTAGCTCCTTGGCCTATCAGGGTCTGTGAATGAAGAAAGGCCACCTAGAAAGAAAGAACAACACATACACAATTAGAATAAAGTCTGTTTCCTAATAGGGTAACTTAAGACAAGTACTGTGACAACCAAGCCTAGCACATGGTTGCAACAGGTCTCAGACTTCTAAGTAAAACCCTGAAGTTTAAAGGCGTGCTCACATAACAGCACAACTGCATTTAAAAATAGATGTTAGTATAAAAACACACTGAAAGTTACCACCTCTTAAAACCGTTTCTACAGTACAAAAACCTGTGTCAAGTCAGCGTCACAAAGCTCAAGGAATCTTGTAACACTTCCTCAAGGATCCCTCAGCTTTTTCTAAATTCAAGAATTTCCACATGAACCAATACAAGCAACAGAAATCCAACACAGAAATATTCTGTGTTCTGGCATATTTCTATTGCTTCACACTCCATTTAGAATGACATTTCGGTTGACATCTTACATGGAACATTTTACCTCAAATACATAGCTTTAAAAGAATGGTAAAAATGTATTACTTGCAGCAAAAACATTACACCTGAAAGACACCTTTAATATGGATAAGAACGAGTAAAACAAGGTGAGCTTTTCTTCTGCTCTTCTTCACTCTATTTTTAGTTCCCTAGAAATCTGCTGGAACTGCACAAACATCTGCAATTGTATGCAAGATGCACTAATTTTTCAGAGCACCAATGTCTCATGCAGATTTTACAAACCTGCACACGCTTTCATGATCTTTTTCAGAGGACCCATTGTGTACATCAGTCCAACAAGAATCCCTGCCAGATGACCAGCAAAAGAAGTCCTATGAGGAAAAAAAATATCTCATGAGCAATAGAAAGGTAGACTTCTTGGGTAGGAAACCTGAAGTGGAAATATCGTAATCCACAAAGTCCTTATGTAACCAAGCATAGAAAAGTGACAAGGGTAATGCAAACACCTATTAATTTCTGCTCTGACTTGGTCAATCTATTTTCTAATATTAGTGGTAATTATTCTATTAAACCCAGATGTGCAGTTTACAAAATTCCAACTTACAGAACTCCTTACCAAAATTAATTTCCTCATTTTGTGATTTCTAAAAAAACATTGTACATGATCCAACTGAACTGAGCAACGTATCAATTCAAACTGAAGTGCAGTGCTTTCTTTCTTTCCTCATAAAATCCTAACACTGTTGTGTATACACTCACAAGTATGCAACATATCTTGAAGAAGCTGGAAGCTAACAGGAGAGATCACTTCAATTGCTTGTGTAAAGCACAGAACACTGATCCCCTACAAGCATTTAAAGTGAAGTCTTCCCAAGACAGAAAACTCATTTTAATCTGTAGAACTTAGATCCACAGAATTACACTAAAATGTCCTAGTAGGAGCTACCAAAACTTACTACCGTTTCAAACGTAAGCATAAGTAGAGCACTTTATCACAGTACTGTCAATTCAATCCTACTATGAAATGGAAGCCCCACCCCTGGAGACATCCAAGGCCAGGTCACACTGGCTCAGAGCACCTGATGGAGCTGTAGGTGTCCCCATTCATTGCAGGGGGGTGCACTAGATGGCCTCTGAGGGTCCCTCCCAACCGATCTTCTACAAACCCTAAATGCAGACCTGTTCCAACATATTTGTACCACAGTGCATTCATAATTAAAAGAACAGTAAGTAAAAAACTGAAATCCATATTATTTTCTAAACATGCCTATTTACTTTAAAAATACATTCATTGCCCATTTGTACATAGAATGAAAAGACTGAAGTCTTCAACACAGAAGCATTATATATGGGGTAAATCCAGAGATTTGCTCCAAGTATCTCCATGAATATTGTGTCTCAGCACTCAACTTACAAGTTCAGTGAAAGAGTTTAAATAGGCTCTCCTCTGAATTTGCAGAAGCTAATACACCCAATAATTAAGATTCCCTATACTCAAGTAGGTAGGAACAGCAAAAGCAGAAAATGGTCACAAAGAAATACCACAAATTAACCAAGTTTCACCTTTGTCAAGGAAGCAAAAGGCCTCCCCAGAAAGAGAAACAGCAGGTGGCATGTTGTAGGAACACAGCGCTGCCTCACAGCATTTCTCAAAGAATGTTTAAAACCCTGGGCAGTATGAACTACACTAAGCAGATACATAACTGGATAGAAAACCTGGCTTAATGCTTATCAGTGATTTGTTACCAAACCAAGGAGGTGAATTGAATGGATTTCCACATTTTCTGTACCAAATATTACTCGCTAATAACAACAAGCTGAGAGAGGATGTAGGAGTCACAAGAGATAGAGCTATAATTTAAAGCAACCTTGGCACAGTAACAGAAAAAGATAGGATAGGATACAGTAAAGACAAGGAGGGAGTTCTGAATGTACCACAGAAATCAGCGCCTATACAAGCTGGAAGGGACAGGCCAGTAGCAGAGCTTTGGGACAGAGCCCAGCACGCGCAGTGAGTCAGATGGTAAAACACAGATCCATGGAAGACAAGTATTCCACTGGAAATACATGGAAGCACTGCCTGGAAGTAAAACAAAGTCACCTTTCACTCTACTCAGATGGAAATTCAGTTTCTGCAGACTGAGCAGAAAGAACAAGAGGAAATAAAATGCTAACAGGAAACAAATGCAGCAGCCATAGACACAAACAAAGGGAAAAAAACCACTTACCTCTAGAAGGCATCAGGTAGACTAGGATCTCCAGCAAGATCTCTTTATCTCCACTACCAACCCTTCAATGAGGTCTGGGAGGAGTGGCTCCTGGCTCCTCCCATTCCAATCACTCAGGTACATTGCGTGCACCTGAGCTCCCCTGGTTTGCCCTGCCTGCCCACCAGGTGCTCAATCACTGCTTCAAGCTGCAGCTCAGCACTCCCACTGCAAGTAGATTGCCTTTTTAAGAAATTTGCACAATATATTTCTTCTTTCTACAAGTTTTGTCTCCTGACATTGAAATTAATGACAAAACTGTAACTGTTTTCACAAGGCAGAGCTATATGCACATGGAATTAAATGCCATTTTGGCTGAAAGGCACAAATGCAATTTATTAAAAGCACAAAAGTTGTAGGAAGGTCTTCTCCAAACACACTCCCTTCACTTGTATTATAAATTCCACTGTTCTCATATCAAATTCAGAAAATTGAGGGTACTCCTATTTTGTACTTTTTGAATAAAGAATATAAGTTTGGATATTATATATATAGGATATATATATATATTGGATTGGATATATATATGTTATCAGCCATAAAGCAACCTCTCCTGTCATATGATTCCAAAAGAGTATTTTTACATTGCTCCCAAGAATATGGGAATCCTGTTGACTTCAATGTCTATTTTTTTAAGTTGACTTATTATGCTGTTAGACAAAAACATTCTCCTGATTGCAGGAACAAGATAAACCATTGCCTTTTCTCCTGCTTGTTCAGAAAAACTAACAGATTTATTGTGTGTTACAACTTCACTTTGTATAAATACAAACTGAAATTTGAATGAAAATAGAAATGGGGCTCTTGGCTTTTTAAAACACTTTTTTTTCCCCTCTAAATGTCAACAAGCTTTATCAATATTAACTAATGTTCTCTTTGATACAAAGAAATTCAAATGAAGCCTCATTTAATTTTTGTTAGAAAATGTGGATCTCCCCAGAGATATTATTTAAACCATTCACTTCATACTAACGATGATTATGCAATATGTCTAAATGCCATTTCCTGAAGAAATGTGCCATCAAGTTGATGCGCACTTTACTCAAGAAAAATCTTCCAAACAGAATTAATTATACTTCTTCATTTGGCTGTGTGGATTCCATGAAAATTGGTGTCATTAAAATGAAAACCATATGACAACATTTACTCGTCAGCTACCCAGTTCTGACACAATGCTTACAAGCCTCTCACAATATTATCCTTTAACATGAATACTGTCCCAGTATTCTTATGCACAATCCAAGTAATCTCCTCACTGCTGGCACATTTATCCTGACTAGTTTCCACTCTGTGGCATCACTCACCTGACAGAGCACACGAAAGAACAAGGAAGCCTGTATCACTTCACCTCTATAGTTTCCTCCTAACAGCAAACCTGAAAGACTGGTTGGAATTATCATTCATGCACAGAACAAAGCCACTTATTTAGCAAAGGTATGTCCTTGGCTCAGCCACTGCTGCAGTCTTCTGTGACAAGAACTTATTTTCATCCATCTCCTACTCTGATGCTACACTACATTCAGGTATACATTCACTCAACAAAGAAGTAATAGAAATACTACAAAAATCCAGACCAACTTTATTTTGAAAAAAAACAATGGATATTTTCAGATAATGGGATGAACCTTATTATTTATAGTAACAATTTATTTCAAAATTAACTCAAGCATGTAGTCACGTGCACATGAATTTATAGCCTCTGCTTCAAAATTTAATCTTGCTGTAGTGATTTAACCCAGCAGATGGCTCAGCACCTTACAGGTGTTCACTCACTCCTCCCCTTCCCAGTGGGATGGGGAAGAGAAGCAGGGAAAACAATGAAGTAGAACTCATGAGCTGAGATAAAACTATTTAGTATGGCAGAGAAAAGGAAAAGGAAAGTAGTTATGACTATATATGTACAGCTGAAAGCATACAACATGCACAAGTAGTTGCTCACCATCCCCCGGCTGATGCCCAGCTAAACCCCTGAGCAGCTGAAGAGAGTGAGAGATGAACTCTCATCCTCCTTCAGAACTCCTTCTGCCTGATGCCATACAGTATGGAATATCCCTTTGGCCAGCTCAAGTCAGCTGTCTTAATTCCGTTCCCCCCCAGCTCCTTGGGCCCTTTGCTGCGAACGGCCTTGGCTTAGCAGGCAACTAGAAACGTGACTGCGTGAGCTGCACATTTTTCTCCTAGAACCAAAAACAGAGTATCATACCAGACACTGAAGTAAACAATTCTATGTCAAATGAAAACTAAGACACTTGCTTAGAAAGAAAGGCACACAATCTACCAGTGCTAATGAAACCACCTGAATGCAAATTAGATCAAATTAACTCATTGAATAAGTAAAAGTCAACTTGTTTTACACACAAGTGCAGGACAACAGCACTTCATCTTTGACTGGAAAGTGGAAATTTGTAACTAACTATGTAATACAGAGGAAAGTAAAAGACGATTAACAAAACAAGCTGTTAGAGCATGGTTTTCACCACACAGTGTCATCCCTGACAAATTTCTTGTGCTTTTTTGGGTGCGTGTGCGGTTTTGTTTGTTTCTCCTCCATGCCCTCTTGCTCCTGAGGAACATTCTCATCAGTAACACAGATCATCAGTAAAATCGATCAACAGCCAGCAATGACTCAGTGATATCATCAAGCATTAAACACATCCACAATTAAAAAAGCAAACTAGATGAGAGAACAGGCACATAAGAAAAGATCTCTCGTGGGGAAAAATAATAGAACAAAGCAGAATATTTGTAGTCATGCTAGAGGCTGCACCAGAATTAAAACAGAGAGGTGAAAGTGGAAGAAAAAAATTAAAATTTCAAACAAAATTTGCCAAAATATATTCCAGTATTTTCAAGTATACAAAGGTTTTGTTTGTTTCCTTTTAATGAAGAGCTCAGCAATTGTATTATGTTGACCTCTTCTGACTGTGATTTGCTTCGAAGCTGTGTTCCTGCAGATCCTTGACCCCATGAGAAAGGAAGCAACTAATACTCATAGCTGATCCATTGTATGCTACCATTTTGTTTTCAGTTGTCAGCTATGAACATGTATTACAGAGATCTGCATCTCTGTCACAGAATGTAGATTCACTCCTGTGCTGCTGTTCTCCAGCTGGGCTACTTCTCAGTTTGCAAGGTCATCTCTTTTTTCTTTTCATATTAACAACTCTAACGAGCACCTTAACTTGCCAAAAATAAGTCTATTAAATTGGCTCAGTCCAACATTTATTCATTTAGTTACAAACAGAAATGTAGAACAGAACTAAAGGTTAGAACTAATTTATTACATTTTTAACTAAGAAATTTATATTTTCTGAATTACAATAGCTGTCACAGATCTGGAAGGAAAAAACAGTTTTCATCTGGCTCTGTATTACTTCTCAGTACTTCATTGGTTATGGATGACCCTGTGATATATCATTCCACTAAAGGCTGCACAAACACACCTTGTGTCTGATGGGACAGAACCCTGCACCACTTACTGACCTCTTATTATTCAGAACAAGATGTCGCACCCTGATCTACAAAAGAACACCATCTAATCAGGCACCTCAAAAACTGTAACATGCCTTGAGCATGCAGAAGAGGATGTAGCAGTACTGCCCTGAGAGTCAATTACTGTGGTTCATTTCAAGGCAGTTGCCAGTTACTAATTAAACATATTATGTTCCGAGACATTAATTTCTGCAGCCTGTTCCTTGCTTTCTGTGGCCTCTGTTAATATTTGAGTGCTGTGAAATTGTCTTAGGTATCAGAATTGAACATAATTAGGGGTTGTTTAGACAAGGCAGCAGCCTAAGCTTCTATGCAAATTACAGAGACATTTTTAACATTATTTCTATACCTCATATTTACTTTCTACCTCCAGAATACGTCTGCAGTAACACAACTGGGAAAAAAATAAAAAACCCAACTGCATCCAACCACTAACCTCATGAATTCTTCTTCCACCAATTAGATATGTGATATGCTCATGGTTTCGCTTCAGATCATTTCCACTGTTTTTTCCACTATTCTTCAACAGTAAAAAATGTTATTTAACGTATCAAGAAAAAACTAACTAATGCTAAAACAACATTTTGTTTATCAGAAGAACAAAATGAATACACCAAAACTTTTGAGTTTTAATACCATGGAAGTGATCTCTTAGCTGACAATTCAAATTGCATTTGAATTGAAAAACAGCTCCGCTGTTCTTTTGTCTTTTAACTTGGGATTCCTTGTTTCAGTCAGTCAAGCAATAAATGATAAAGAAAGCAGTAAACTCTGCTTAAAATAAGTAATATCTGAATTTTCATTCTGGTCTAGGAAATGTTCTACCTGCCACATCATAGCATCTAATGATTAGTATGTCAGTCTTGTTCCCCTCTTTAATCTTTCTAAAAAGCAGCAAATTGTTCATGAATTGCAATTTGGCAGTTAGTAAATTTTGTGAGTTTCTTTCACACACATTTTCTAATACCATTGACACTTATAAATTATAAAACATTATGTAAGAGAACAGATGATTTGCAACTACAACTCCAGAAATTAACTGCAGACAAAGGAAAAATTGCACTGGCATAGATGAGCACATAGGAAAACTAAGGGAGACAGTCAGCAAGACTGCAGGATAGTAAACTATGAATTTTATCCAGATAACCCTAGATTAAAAAAAAAAAAAAAAAAAAAAGAGAGAGAGAGAAAAAGAGAAAAAGCAAATGAAACAGTGGATGTCAGTTTAATGGTAAACTAGAGCAGTGACTAGAAGAAATTGACAGAAGGTACCAGAAGAAAAATAAAAAGCAGAGCAGCAGAGCGCTCTCCCAGGTTCAGCCATTTTGCACAAAATGAATATCCCTTCCCAGTGCCCACCGACTTCCTATCTTCATTCCAGAACTTTGCCATACTTTTGAGACACAATACTCCAGTTCTTCATTTTAAAAATGGTGTTAAGGAAAAAATCCTCAGCACCAAACTGTAGCCCCAGCGCACGGTTTGGGCACTACCTCACGCTCCTCACACCTCATAGGCATTTCAAACTACTTCAGGTAACCCAAATCTCATCTACCAACTCTGAAGTACTACATGCACTTACCCTGGGGAAATGAAATGAATTGCCACCAGCTCCACCCAACAAGCATACTTGCTGGATATCTGCAATCCAAGGACGCTGCTAACTCTTCCTGGGTTGTAATGGTTGTTAAGAACTTTCAAAGCAAACAAGACTCCTGCAAACAACAATAAATAACATCAGGAGAGAAGCACTTGTGTCCAGATAGTAAAGAAATTAATTATTGTTATGACTTAGCTGCTGAAATGACAGCTATTAAAACTGGAATATCACATCATGCAGTTTCACAGCATCACAAAGCAATATTCTTGCACGTCAGAACAACGGTTGGTTTTGGTTTTGTTGCTTTTTAGAGTTACTTTTCAGTCACTTAAGGACTGAAATTACATATTTGTGTAATGTAGCCAATTCAAAGCTTCGTTTTAAATACAACTATTTATTGTAGCTGTTCAAGTAAACAAAATACAACAATTTAAAAGGGAAGCTCTAGTTGTAATAATGGACAAACTTAATAAACTCAAAATGTACAGTAAGCTGAGAAAAGCCATGACTGAAAACAAGACAAAGGCATGTGTGAAGGTCAGCAATATGCTCAAAAATTCTGAATTAATGGAAAAATCATCTTACATATACTCCAGAATCACCTGTTTCTGCAAAAAAAAAAAAAAAAAAAAGATAAACTGCCTTTAATCACAATAATTTATTTCTAATTGATTGCAACTGTTTTATCATGCAAATAAAAAGCCAACATGGCAGAATGAGTTTGCATTATTTATCAGAACATTCAAGAAAGATTATGAAATTCTCAGGAGAAAATGCAATCACTTGAAAAAAAATGGGAAAAGTGACATAAGTAAGTATGGAAAAGACAGCCAAGTTGGACAGGAACAAAGATATACTAAATTAAAAAACATGACAAAGGTTTCCCCTCTTCTAATACCATGGAGAACACAGGACAGCAAAACTTCTTTCTCTACCCAGCGGGTTTCTTTCACATACATTCTCTAATATGAGGTAGGTACTCTTATTTTAGGATAATACACACAAATGTTCCTTCGAACAGCCCATGCTTACATTTATTGCTGCTGACAGACCTTATTCAGAAACCATACATTTACTTGAGAGCAGAAATATTTGATAGCAGCACATCATTGAGGAGTTTTCTCTATCCAATCCTCCCTTGGCTCACCAGAATATTCTATGTACAGCTTCAATTTTTATCATTATTTTTGAGGTCTAACTGCCTATTGGAAGGGCCTAGGCCTGCTGTACTGTCAGGTTCCTGCTATGGGAAAAAGGGCCTGGTCCATTTCATCCAGTTGCAAAATAAGGAAATAAATCCAGGCATCCTAAAACTCTTAAGAGATGAGAAATGAATGGGCCATAAATATGCATACAATCTGGCTCTTAAAGAAACAGTTATTGCCAGGAAAATACTCATTTCTTCTTTAACATCTGCTCCACATATATGACACTTGCTCTGACTGAAATTACATATGCTGAAGGTCACGTTGAGAATGCTGAAGGTTTAGGAAGATCAACTACAGACAGTAAGGCTGTCAGAGCTACTTTAATCTACTGCCTGGACAAAGCATGTGCACACAGGCTGCTGCTCACAAGAACTGGACACACAAGGAGCACATGCTTTAAATTTCAGAAATGATCACTTCAGTGACATAATGTACACAGATGCACCTGGATGTCCACCTGTCCATTTACTTCATTCAACAAACATTATATATTATCCATAGTTATTTATTTTTGCATTTAAATTGGACCAACTCACCCGAGAAGCCTACAGCACAACTCATTTCATACGAAGGATCATTCAGAATCTTCACAAGCACGAGTTCCAGCAGCACATAAACAATTCCAGTCAGCACTGAGAATACTGCAATTATGTACGCAAACCACACACTTCCAAGTCTCCTTTCCAACATTATTCCCTTCCAAAGCATGGAAATCATGTTATAATATAAATGCCAGTCATCAACATGGTGGACAGGTGAAAGCAGTAAACGCTGCCAGTTCTGTCTGTAGAAAGCTTCCCTCACACTGATGCACGCCTCATGCAGCGGCCTCACGGGATTCAGGAAGAAAAAAACATTCAGCACGAGCACTGCGAGGGTAACAGAAGGAATGTTCTGAAGTCCAACCTGAGAAATCTGGTAAAGCAGCAAAAGCAGTCCAGCATTGACTCTTCCCTGCCTTCGTTGCATTATTGCTTCTTACTCAAAGAAATGTGAAGTTCACTCTACTTCTACTCTTGTTCAAATCCAACGCCATACACGTTCTGGAAACACTGAAAGAAAAAAACAACTGCATTGTAATACATGTACTATTGTGTTTTCAGACTAAGTGCTCTTTTAAATCAATTAAAAAAAAAACAACAGCAAATTCTTCAAGCTGAGCAATTGAAATGAGAAGAAAAGAAAATTTTAATCTGGTCTAAGAAAAAAGAAAAATAGACATCTTCTCACTGATATCCTGATTCACTTACAGTCATTAAACTTCCAGGCAGAAAGCCCTTGAAAAACAACAAAAGAAACCCGGACAGGAACTTGGTTCTCAGGCCTCTCATCTTTGCTACAGGTATTGCTTTCAGGATTTTTTCCCTAACTTCTCCTCATACTCAGTGTAAATTGAGAATGGAAATTCCAAGTTACTGTTTCAACAAGTAAGACACACACCTAAGGGCTTCTACACAAAAGCTTTGAAAACGGCTCTTGCTTTTGTAGATCAAAACTAAAATTCTAGTTTCAAAGCTTGCAGTGGGGAAAATACTATAGGAGGAAAGCACATGCAAGAACAATACAAAAAAAAAGCCAACAAAACTGCATCAAAATATTCATCTCTTCTCTGTTCTATTTACAACAGATAAATGTAGGGAGAAAAAGAAAAAGAAAAAAAAGAGAAATAGAGTAGTAGATCTAGCTAGAAACAAGGTTACAATTGCAAGCACTCCAAACTTCTGCAGGTCCTTAGAGGCCAAGGCACCTGCACATGGAGAATGCAGCACAAAGTGACACAGAGATGGCAGAGTGGATACCTCCATCAAGATGCTCAAGATGCAAAGTTTTATGTTCCACGCTATACCTATCGGGATTCTAGACCCTGCATTTCTACGGACAGCTGCTCTCCGCAAGCAGTTTTCATTAGGTATTCAGAGTGTCATTAATAAATTGATGGGACTGCACCAAAGTAAGCAAACACAAGGAAAAGTCAGGGAAATCACCTCTGAACTGTGTGATCCTGCATGAGCAAAAGGAACTACAAAACCTGCAGAGGGCTGAGCAGAAGAAAAGCCCACCTACAGCCCAGCCTCTCCTTAAACATCAGCAGAAGCAACAGCAATCGCTATGGCAGTTCACACTTGACAATAAGTGGCGTTGAACAATTGAGCAAATCAAATTTACGATGCTGTAATCTCTGGATTTCTTGTTAAATTGCATTTATGCTCAGCACGGCACTTGAGGAAGAACCTGCTTACATTCTCAAAGCAACTCCAATGGAACAGAACACAAATAAACTCATCTGCTACAAAGAAAGGAAATTCACTACATTCTTCCCCTGGTCTAAGCTTGGTCTGAGGCAGAATGCAGCAGCAGCAGAAACCCACTGTTCCAGGCCCCTGAGTACAGAACTCAGCTGTGCTGGGACCTTTAAGAAACAAATCCTAATCCTCCTAATTTAACTACACAGCTGAGCTAAGACCTCTTACAAAATGGTTGTTGTAAATGATAATCAAGTGTCAGCCTTTGTCTGGTTTTGTTTTTTTGTTTTTGCTTTTAATGTCAAAATTATATTTCAAAGAAGTAACTGAAACTTCTGATTATCTAAGTAATGTCATCTTTCAAAACGTATCAGGTCACAATGTTGGTATCACCATCTCCAAATATTCTTACGTTCACGAGCCCAAAGCTCTGACTTTTCTTTTTTGCCACTGACACAGCTACATTTTTCCCCACCACAAAACAGCTGACAAAAACGATTAGAATTTAAAAGCCAACCCAATTTAAACACAGGCTACATGGAAACCCCAACTTCTTGCCACACCACATTGTTCAGATTGCCAAATAGTACATAGTCTCGCTTTTTAAAGCTTTCGCTCTCTTCTGACAGTCTTTATCTTCCAGTTTTCATACTTTTAATATAACTTTTAACATACCAAGGAAAAACAACCGGCAGGCAGCACGTGTCTGCACCATAACCGTGTGAGAGTGGGAAGGCTTTACACCACAACTGCAGTCATGCTAGGTACTGTAAATCCTTCCTATTATTGGGAGCAACCAGGAATGGGTGCCAAAAACACATCACACATTTGATTATAATGGATAAATACATAAAGAAAGAAAACAAATTAGTTATTTAATTAGTTAATGTAATTCATTTGAAATATAGAGAGCTTTCAGCTGTTTGAACTTTCTTTCTCAGCCTCTACTCTGCTCACTAGAAGCCCAACAAGGCTTAAAACAATGAAGCATTTATTCTTTTTCTTTTTTTTTTTTTCTTTTTTCCTTTTTTTAAACTATGCCACCCACTTCTAAATGCACAAATTTCCAGCAGGGACCTGAAGAGGACGTTTGTGTTGCTCCTCAGCTGCCACGTGTCTGCATTTTTGTCACCTACTCAAGAAAAAAGGTCTGAACTAAACGTTCTCAGAATCCATTGGTTCAGTACTAACCAAGTGCAAAGCACATAAGCTTTCATTTTTTACTGTGACAAACTCCCTGGCTGGCTTGACAGCCATAAAATATTATGAGTTCAGATTACTGAAAAGTCGTGCCAATAAGTACATATTTTAGTAAATTGTAGTTCAAATGAAACATTACTGTCTTTTCCTACTACAGCTGTAGTTTGAAGTCGAAGATTCTTCTTAAACCCTCATTCCCCTCTAAACTTCTAGAAGTTCACTCTAAAATTGTGATTCATGTTGACGTGAAACAAAACCCAGCCCATTGCCCTGCTCCTCAACAGCCACACTGCGAGGTAAGCCCAGATGTTACAAAAACACAAGAGAAATGCATCTCGTTTCCACTGAAGGTAAGCACAGCTGTCATCTACCTGCATGGCACATTCCCACCAGGAAGGTCTATCAGCAACGTTTTCTCTAGCACTGTTTAGTTCTCCTCATGCCTCCCAAAAACCATTTGTACTGGGGGACCTTAGCACTACACAACACTCTGCTGACAGAAGAAACCCCAGGGTTAGCGATTCACTTTGGATTGGGAGTGTGATTTTGAAGTGAAACTCTCCATCACTCCCACTGATGCCACTGCGGTTCTCTGGAGTGGCTACAAAGTGTTTTCTTCTCCTTTCAGATGAAACTAAAGTAAGAGAAGGAGAAGCACTCCAGAAGAAAAACCTGAGCATTTGGCCCACAGATCCAGACTAAAGCTAGGTCAAATTAAAAACACAAAACCAAAGCCACACCACTAGAAATACGTAAAGGATGAAAAGGGCAAACATCAAATCCTGAGCATAAACTGTTTCAGACCGCAAATAAAGCCCAGCAGACCCATACTATTCATCGATGAATATTGAAACTCAGTACAAAGCCTTATATCCAAGCAAAGAACAGAACAGAAACCGTGGTTTTAAGGCAAAAGGAGTTCTACAAAGGAAGCATCAGCAAAATGCACTTACTATTGGCCTCAAACTTCAAAGGGGACCAAGGAAGGCAGAATAAACAAAACAAGAAAAAAAACATGCAAGAAAAAGCACAAACATCTTAAACATGGTGAACCGTCCTGCTTTTATTTAATAAGTATGCAGGGAAAAGGTCAGCTACAGCTACAACAAGCTCTGAAACACTAAATACAATCACTGCATAAAACACTGTGTCTACCGTGAACTCATTCCATTCTGATCCTTCTGTCTGTACATTTGCTTTCATAGGCAGTCACTGTGGGAATAGATACTATGCTCTTGTGCCTCAAGACCAAGGCCTGATCTGTGGTGTAAAGGATTTACTGGTAACGCATACATCAGTAAGATCCACTATTTCCTCCTCTGGAGACAAAGGTCAATCACTTCTTGTAGTGCAATATAAATCAGCTCCCCAGATGGAACAACCTAATATTTCTATTACGTATTGCCTTTGTGTGGGTATATTTACACGTACAGAGAAGTGCATTTACATACACATGCTCTTTTCACGGGTGCAGATTATTCTAGGAAGAACCCTTCAGGCTTACCATCAAAAAGAGCCGTTTCGGCTTATATAAATTCATGCAATAGAAATTCTGCTACAGTTGTAGTGTAGAGCAGACAAAAGCAGAAACCTTCACAGATTTTAATGGAAGGCTACCTTTTAGTATCTCTCCTTAGAAATGATGTTCACTAGAAATTAATGAACTCAGTGTTTTCCTTCACTGGAAAAAATCTGTTCCAAATTCACTCAGAAGCCACACGCTGCTGTTGGTTTCATCACTTAAAAATACTAAAAAGCAACACAGAGACCATTTTCTCTGTATTCCTAAATTTATATGCCATATGTGGTCAAAAAGATGAAGCATTTTTGATCGAGCAAGGAAGAAAAACAAATCAGCAGATAATCTCTGAAACATCAGCTCTTTTTAAACCTCTGCTAGAAGCCAGTCAGAACTATGTATCAGCAAAACATCCTTCTGGGGGGCAACAATGGATATATTAAGCTCCTTCCCTGTTCTGTGGAATAAAGCAACACAAGTTGTGATAAATGTTTTTACTATCCTGTCTCGAAACTGGTAGTAAGTAACTACACTTCTAACAGCTAAGATACATCTAAACATTCATAAGGTACATAAGTGAAGTGAGCTTTAGTAAATATTGATAGTTGTGTGACTGGACTGCTGAAGGGACATCAGTTATAAACATATATATATCTATAGCTCCAAATCAGAACAAAGTAGATTTCAGAATAGGCCCCAGCTTGATTCTTAATTTGACAGACGTTTAATTGCTTCCATTAAAATTGTACTGTTCGTACTTGACTGCAATTCTCACACCATCCTAAAACTGCATCACCACAGCAGGGGATCATCCTCCCGCGCTTAGCTAAGAACTCCTCGGTGTAATTAAAGTGAAACAACCAGCATTTCCTCTCCTCCTCCAGATCCGTGAAGCACGAGAGCCCTTCTGGGCTCAGCACTCCAGGCTGTAGTTACTTTTCTTAACCATCTTACTGCTTTAAGGAAAAAAAGCGGATGCAGTTCTGGCAAAAAGTAAAAAGACATTTCGTTATTCCTATCAATTCTGCCAAGATGAGCGCAGGAGCCGCATGCCGCCGATAGGCGCTATCAGGGCTGATACGGCCGCAGCACTGCTCGCGCACCACAGCAGCGCTGCCCGAACAAAACCCCGTCAGGGCGGAACTCCGCGCGACGCTACAGAGTAGAATGCAGAGGCCGGAACTCGCTTCGCTGCCCGCCAACAGCGGGTGAGGCAGCGCGCAGCGGCCGCCCCCGGCCGCAGGGGAACGCGCCAGGACGGAAGGGGAGCGGGGGGCACGTAACGCTGCCAACCACAGCCGGGCGGGCGCCGTACAGCGGGGCGCAAACGCCGAGGTTCCTCAGGGCTGCAGAAGGAGGGAGAGCGAGAGGGCGGCTGGGAAGCAGCGCCGCGCCACCCCTCCGGCGAGCAGCAGAGACCCGCAGTGCGCGGGGGGGGGCGGTGGGAGTCGTCCGCTACCAGACGGCGGCGCGGCCGCCCCCTCCTCCCTTCCCTTCCCGCCCCGCCCCAGCACTCACGTTCTCTGCGCAGCGGCGGCCCCGATCCCGGCGCCGCACCACGTGACGCGGTCTCCAGTCCGCCGATTCCAGTCCCGCCCGCCGCGCTCCCCTCAGCCGCGCATGCTCAAGAGTGGCTCCGCCCCGCGGCGGGAAAGAGCGGCCGTGTTCTGCGAGCTGCGGTTAACTGAGAGCCGGAGAGGTCTGTAATGAGTCGTGTAAGTCGAACAGTTCAACTCCTCCATCTTTTTATTCAGGCGCTAGAGATTCTGAGAGGAACACGGCGGTTGAAGCGGTGCGCCGTGCGAGTCGCTGCGTTAAGCGTCGTTCCCAGCTCTGCTGCGGGCGCCGGGCCGCCGGCTGTGCTGCTCAGCGGGAACGCGCCAAGCGAAACGGACACTGTGAAGGAGGTTGTCACAACGGCTGGCGAGCTGGTGGTGCGAGTAGGAGAAGCGAATCATACACAGACCGTAGCCAAAGCTACTTGCCAACGGCCCTGCTTTGCTGTCAGTTCTGCGGCACTTCGGTTTTGTAGAACATCTTGGCAATTCACACGAGTATGTCATAGTATTTATGTGAAAGTTGTAATCTGCCCTTCCAAAAACAGCGCACAGCTCAGCAGACTGGCAGGCATGAAAGGGGCTGAATTCCTAGAAACAGGGTGGGGATGGAGTTAAAGGAGCAGGCTGTGCCAAAACAAGCAACTGCAGCATTCTGCTCTCTTCCAAGAGTGAGCAGAAGCCAAAAGAGGAGGGCACGTCCAGTGTGCTGCCATCCACACACCTTATGCTAAGCTCTTCAGTTTTGGCACATTGAGATCTGTTACCTCAATTAACGCTAATTGTCATAATTCATAGAAATCACAGGATATGGGAGTCAGAACGATAGATTTTCTAACATACACCAGGTTTTCTATAATTGGCACCATTTTCTGTAATAGCCTACTCTAGTTTCATGCAGCTGTAACTCCAGTCTGTAGTTCTTAACCATGCAGTATTTACTGCCCAACTGTAGGCTCTGATCTTCTTACTCGATGTATGAGACTTGAGGTCATAGCTGGGACCTGGAAGCCCTGCATTCTTAACATCCTGTGTTAACCTGTTCAATCATATGTTTTCTATCTTAGGTTTTTTATAAAGCCCAAATAATAGGAGGCACAGGAACAATTGTAGGCTAAGTGAATGATGCATTCAGGTGCTGTGATTCATGGGCCATGTGTGTGTGTTCTTGTGCTTGATAGCTGAGTGCAGGATTTGATACTGCATTAAGCTTTTTTTTCCTCTCCACATTTTCAAAAAATTTGCTAAAAAAGCCCACATGAAATATTACTTTTTATGACTAAATAGCTGTACATATACATATATATGTATACCTAAGAAATAAAAGCCCTGCTTCTCTCTTTCTCTGATCTCATGCTGTTTACCTCATGGATTTCTTCCACCTTTTTATCTGAAAGTTCATTTTTCTTATTAAAAAATAGAAAATACTGTTTTACACGCCACAACTTTTGTATGGTCAGTTTTAAAACATGGTGACATTGATTTAGCCATGCTCATAGATTTCCTGTACGTGAAATCCCCAGTTGTTTTAAGATGCCCTGAAAGACGTTTTTGAGTAAGAGGAGCAATTTAGGTGCCAGCTCTTCCGCCTAGCTAAAAAGTACAACACATTCAACAATTTCACTATCTATTTAAGCAGCTATTAACAGTATACGTTCTGTTTCCTATATACACCTAAGCTGATTAAGAAGTTAATTCAATACTTGGAAAGAAAATGAAAAATAAAAACAGCATTTTCATGTCCCGTGATGCATTCAGTTAAGGCTGCTTACGCCTTGCTGCTAGCTATATAATCCATGTAAATATTTATATTACACCTGTTATCACTGTAAACATACAGCTTAGTCGTATGTTGACCAACAATAAAAAAGTGACATTGAAATCTCTCTTGCTTAACGGCACAAGGTTTAAACAGGTTTTGGAGGCAGTAAACCAGGCCTCATTTTTCTGAGTTACACGCAGAGGCTTTTCACCATGAAATAACTGGGAAGGAACAGCTTGCTATGGAATGCATAAATATTGATTAAATCCATATCTGATTTTTTTTTTTAATGCTGGAAATTTGATAGCATAATTGAAACACTGTTGATGTTAATTATGAGGAAGCTAGGCTGGACTAGCTCAGAAATGTTAGAAGAATGCATAAGAGTAGTTACAAGAAAAGAATTATGGCTTTCCTGGACAGTCAGTATGTAGTAGCATTGCAGAATTAGACAGGTCAGTACTATAGAAAAGGCACGATAACAGAAGGTGCTATAAAGGAAGGAAAGAAGATTGCTCACCCATATCTAGGTTTGCAAGGGAAAGCTCCACCAAGGACAGATTTCCAGAAAGATTCCTCCCTAGGGGCAGTCAGCCCTTAAATGAGGTCTAAGAGAGGTGCAGCCAGGCTCCACCCCTTCTGGTCACACAGCTGAACTGCCTTCACCTGTGCTCCATGGGCTGACTGGGTGCTCTGCCCAGGTGCTCAATCAGTGGTGTGACTCAATAGTTGCCATACGCATATTTACAAACAGAAGGAGAAATAGTAATCCAAAGTTTGATACGTGAGGATATGATGCATCTGTCTGAAAACTAATATAACATCAATAATTTCAGGATTGATTTAAATACAAAATTAGTTTGTATACAGCTGTTTTACCTCTGCTACCATTCTAATTCTGAAAATAACATAATGCTTTGGAAATTGTGGAAGCAAGCCATTCAAAAAGATAGATATGGAAATACGTGATAAAACATTTTTTGTATGAATTGGGAGCTTAATTTCTTTGAGTCTTTGATGTGAAATTAACTTTGTATTTGTTGCACAGCCCTTAGCTGGTCATGTACTTTATCCAAGTTCAGTTGTCACCATCACTAACAGAACCTTCATAATAAGGCTGTAGATTCTTTGCTTCCAGCTTGTAGCGTTAAAATGAATCATCCTGCAGGTTCTTGTTCATGTATTTTTCCAGAAGGAAAAGAAGAAATATCCGTTGAAAAGTAAAGTAGTCTATTAGTCTGAACATGGGCTGGAAAAAATGGAGTAACATCTAAAATGTTTCATAATGCTTACAGCCAAAGGGGCTTTTGATCATCTAGTCACCTCCTGTTTAACCTGATAGTTCTATGCTGCACTGAGGAACCAGTTACACCAAAGCATTTTCATTCTCAAAGTCCTAACTTGTTGTATGTCAGCTATGGAGAATGGAATAAACCAAAAGACAATTCTAAGGAAATAGACGTGTAAAATATGCCGGGAGGACAGTACCAGATGCTCTCTCTACTCAATTAAAGAGCCTTTTAAAAAAAGGTATCAAAATCCAAGAGAATATAACTCAAGGTCACTGGTGAAAACAAACTGTAACAGTAAGACAGAAAACTGCTATCCCTTAAAACTGATTTTAAAACATGCAATGAGTGTTCAGTAACTGTTGAGTCATGGCCTGAACCACTGATTGAGCACTTGGGGAAAGGACTCAGACAACCCTGGGAGCACAGGTGAAGGCAGTTCAGCTGTGTGACCAGAAGGGGTGGAGCCTGGCTGCACCTTTCTTAGACCTCATTTAAGGGCTGACTGTCCCTAGTGAAGGGTCTCTTTTTGGAGGTCTCTTCTGGTGAGATTTTCCTTTGCAAATAGAGAATCTTCTGAGAAGGGTAAGTAATCTTCTTCCTTTCCTTCTTAGTATCTGTCTGTTGTGCTACTTCTTCTGATGTCTTACCTTTATTGTAATACCTTTCTCGTTGTATTGGCTGCCCACTTGCTGCAAATGGACAAGCAGACACTTCTCTTTGTTTTGCTTGACCAGGGGAATCTTAATCATTAGCAAAGTAATCATTAACAAAGCAGCCTGAACATTGTTGACTGTAATAATACTACATGCAGAAAGTATTCTGTTGAGTAGTTCTTTTTGCAGGTGCAACGTAACTTACATCTCATTGCTTATAGTTGCTATAATTGCAAAATGAAGTTATATTCTGCTTCTGGTAGAGAGTCTTTGTTAATACTGTAGCTGTAAGAATTTGTGATTTTTTTCTTGTTTCTGTAAAGTATTCAAGTACTGTAGGGCTTTTTTTCTTTTTTTCAGAAAATATGGGTTCTGATCCTTTTTTATTTCTTATGAATTTTTTAACAGCTTTATTGCAAGGCTGTATCAGTAATCTGGTGATGTTCTTGTGTGTTCTCCTGGCCCGTACTGTGCAAGGACAACTGGAGCAGTGTTTCTGCAGGGCAAGGGAACATCATTTTTCAGTACTCTCAAGTTCCTGGCTCTGAAAGTTGAGCTAATCTGGAAGCAATACTGCAGGGCTTCATCTGGCACTCCCTGTAAAGAAGGATTTGTCTAAGATAGTGAAGGAATTTCTCCAGAAGTTACAATAAGCCTCTTTTTAGAAGTCTTTTCCTGTTCTGTGTTCTCATGAATATAGGTGGAGAACTTGTGTTTTTTGTGCTTTATCTCTTTGAACTAATGTCACTTCTACAGCATGTACACTCACCATACCAATCCACATCGTGTGCCCCCTGCAGAGAGGTTCAGGAAGCATTGGGAAGAAGAGCTGCTGCCTTCTGGTCTCTGAAAGGTGACCTGAAGTTTTACCTTGTGACTCAGTCTGTCTTATTTCTGAATTTTGTATAGTGAAAAAAACCTGTATTTTCTTTGGAAGCTTTGAATTCACTGAGCATTATATTCACAATTGAATTGGGAATTGCTTGTTTGCTTTTAACTTTCTAGAATTGTCTTTAAGTCATGGGGAGTGCACCCATAAGCCTCAATTGCCCTTACCAGCCCCACCTGGGTCCCCACACCCACTGCCCAGGATCCCCATTTAAGATCAGTCCCAGACAGTTCCTTTTCCTTTAGTTCAGTTTTTAAAGCATTCAGCAGGAACTATAAAGCTGCAGTACAAAGGAGAAAGGTATTTGAAATGAAGATCAAATGGGTTTTATGGCCCATTTAAGTCTTTTTAATATAGGCAATATTGTAAGGATTATAATCAAATACTATAAAACTATTGAATATTGCCAAACCAGAGAGTTGCATTGTTCCTGTAGGTTGTAGCTATC